TATAAGGTAACCTGAGACCCAGTTAATTGCTTAGTTTGTCATTTGAGATCAACCTGGACATCATTTGGTTTGTAGGACTCATTAGAGGTCAATCACAGCCTTTGTTTCCTGTCTGAGGTCATCTGAGTGCAATCTGAAATGCAACTCTCACTGCAAGGTCATCTGAGGTCAACCCGGATGGTTGTTGCCCAGATAAATTCAGGTAAACATGAGTTCTGATTACTTACAGGGGTCACTTGAGGCACAACTGCTCCTTGTTTGAGCCCAGGGCTCATCTAAGCTCAGCTTTACACCCAATAAATTGCCCCAGAACATCCTAGCCTTGTTTTCATTCCACAAGCTATGTGAAGTCAAATTCAGAACTGACTAACTTGCATGTGAGTCACCTGAGATCAACCTTAATTCCAGTTAGTTACCCAAAATTACCATTTGAGATCAGTCTGCCCTCCTTTGGTGCCCAGAGCTTACTTGGAGTTAATCCACACCACATTTCCTTAGGGTCACTTGAGGCCAACCTTAAATCTGGTTAATAGCACAGGGTAATTTGTGGCCATCTCTAGCTTTCATTTGTTGTTATGGAGTCTCTGAAGACCGTTTTGGGCCTCCCTTGCTCTCCTTCATCAGTGACTGTGCAATAGGGACCTCTAAATTTATGCTCCCCAGTCCCTTAATTTGATGCACAGAAGATACTTAAGGTCCATGTTAGGCCTCTTTTCTCTTCACTATTTTGTGGCCATATTCTGCTGCTATATTCTGCTAGCATTCCTCACAGGTCAACCCCAGTCCTTTTGTGCTTCTCAAAGATTGGGAGTGGTCACAGCTCTTCTGTTCATTATAGCTATTTAATCTCAGTTTAGGCCTAATATGAGGGGGTTGCCACAAGAGTTCAAATACTTCGCCAGGTGGGTGCAGGCTGGGATAATCTGTAGTCATCTACTCTTAATTTGTCCAACAGTAAATTGAGCTCAGTTGAGACCAACACTCTGCTGCAGGTTCAGGGGAGGTCAGCTACTGATTTGATTAAAGGCAACCTACATAGCTTGATTTTAATCTCAACATTTAAATTGTGTTTAGTGGTCACCTCAGCTGAAAGCCATACTTTGTATTGTGGAAGATGGTTACACAATGCTACCTACTAATCCAAGTTGCTCCTCAGAGGTTATCTGAAATTGAATATTCTTCTCATTTCTTGGCCACAATCTTACAGCCTGACCAAGTTTCACTCTCCAGTGTATTGTGAGGTTAAGGGTCAGTGCTGATTTAATGGAGTACTTTGTTCTGGTTCATGTGACACGACAGTTTGCTGCTCATTTTCAGAGGTCATGTAATGCTTCAAATTTCATAGGAGGGATGAACTGAGGAGAAGCACTACTTTTTTCATCATGAAGTGAGACACTCCTGCTGAGACCAGGCCATCCGGATACACACAAATGATCTGCTCTGGGAAAGCCTGTCACATGCTACAGACCACAGAAACAAGATGACGTTAGCAGTATCTCTATGAGATAAGAGTTCAGCTGGGTAAAACAGCAGGAGAAAAGCTCAGAAGTCAGAGATTGTTCTTTGTACCTCAAACCCCATCTACTTCTTCCTCTCCCTTCTCCTCATCCTTTTTCACCTTCTCCATTCTCCCAGCCACGGATATACTGGACTGCTTGCACAATGTCTACACCTAAATCGTATTTTTTCAATAAAAACTTGAGAAATGGAAGGTTTTAGCCATCTGCCTAAATCCTTGACACAAAGAACACAGACAGACTTTCTAAGGCAAGAAAGTCACTGCTTTACTGCAGGACTTTTCACCCATTTTTCTTCTTTTATCTTTATCACTTTGTCACAACTGAAAACCAACATCTAAATGGACAGAGGTTATTTAAAACACTAGTATTTGCTCTGTCCTGTTTATTTGTTCTGCCCTACAAACAGAACTGATGAAGCCAAGCAGGCAAATGAAGAGAACATTGCAGCTGTTTACACACGCTTCTATATCAAAAAGGAAAATAGCTTTTGTTTGGTTTTAGTTTGAAATTTTTCTTCCCCAGCAACAGTTGCCATAAATTTGGGGATCAAACTGTTTCCCAGAATAATTCAAGATCTAGCAAGTACAGTAAAGAAAAGCTGAAAAGCAGTAACATCTTGCAAAAGGTCTAGCAACAAGTCAAGGGGTGACAACTCTGCTGTGATCACAGTTGATGTAAATGCCTGGGTCATTCAAGACAGACTTTTCTTTATTTCTGAGATGACTTTTTCAAGCAAGAAGTGACTGGCATCAACATCCTAAGAATGGAGGACAGATACAAAAGGTAGCTGACAAAAAATAAAACTTTTGACAATTAAATCAGTGAAACACCACTTACATCAGCTCGTTTATACTACTGGCTGTACAGGCTTTTTACATCACAGATCTAGAATTAGACAAAAAAATAAGACAGCCATGTTAAAGGGATGATGTTTATTTTTCATAAATCTGTAACAGTGATTTGGTCAGTAAAGAAGTTTTGTAAGAATTTAGCATGCAACTTAGAAAAAATCTAGAGTCTATTGAACATTTATTACATTATGATCTAATAAATAATGAAAACATCTCATAAAATATCTACTCTCTGCTTCTGTAAAAAGAGATTTTTACTTATGGGACAGTGTAGAAATATTCTTGCAGTAAGCATATTGACTACAAGATTAGAAACTAATGCTACTACATCATTAAAACAAAAGGAGCACTGGCAACCACATGAGAAATTAATTCCTGTTCATTATTTTGAGATTAAAAATAAAAATAACCATATTATTTTCTGTATGTTACTTTCACCTATTTCCCTTAGTGCTTGGAAACATATTATTTCATTCTACACCTGTCAAGAACAGAAACATTTTGAAAATGTGTTTTTATTCTTTTGAAACAATATGAAATAGATTGACAAAACCACAACAGATATAAATCCATTTCTAGAAAATACAGATGCAATATCCCTTTTATCTTTATTACACTAACAATAAATGAATAACCCCAAATATGCCACAACTATGAATAAAATGAAAAAAGCCTTCCTGAGAATGAGGTTTGCAATTTCTGAATATTCTTCATGTTTAAACTACATCTCCAATGCAACAGCTGCCACAAACACATTTTGCTTTGAGTAATCTCAACTGAATTCCTAAGTAAGATTATTTTAAGCTTATATTACAGTATGAGTTTATAAATACTTTGGTTTCAATTTTTTTTTCCCCAGAACTTTACTGCCTAACTTATTTGAGCAAAGTTAGCAGGACTTCTTTTCCTGAACCTACCAGAAGTATAAAATAAAATCCTATATGTGCTTTTAAGCAAAAACAAACTTTGAAATTAATAATCAGAAAATCCTGCAGTTTGACATACATATTTCCTCTTCCACACTAGCTGTCAAACAGCTAGAGAAAGAACCCTGTCCCGCACATCCTTCATTCCATATGCACCATAATTTTAGTGTGGGGCTTGTCTCTTAAAGGCTGATGGGATTTTTTCCTGTTTTCAGTGGCATGGGCTTCATTCAATCTGAGGCCAGTATGTAGGCATCAAAAGACAATCTAACGAATGCACAGAATTTGTAGTATGGAATACATCAAGGACTCAAAAGAAATAAAAACAACTTTACAAATTATTTTAATTATAACTTATTACTGAACTGTGACAAAGCTGGGAGGGGGTCTTTAACCAAATATTCAAATCTACAGTTTAGTGCAATTGGAATTATACCTCCCCAGTAAAATGCAAAAAAGAAAGGTGAGGCAAAATTAATCACCCGCAGGATCACTGGAATTTTTCAGCTTAGTGTCTCCATGAATGGGAAACTTAGTGCTAGCATACCAGTATATAATGGAACAATTCCAAATGCCTCCTTTTCTTGTTTCATCACATTAATATTTCATACTGAGTGAAATAAAGTATCAAACAAGTTTCTATCAACTATATTTTAACACAGATTAGTGTCTTGCAAGGATGCCCAATTCAAGGCAAATTGTAGGTAGTAGGTAACTTCATGGGAATTAACATGATTGAAGAAGATGAATCTACACTGAGCTATATACCGTAAGAATTCTTACAAGTATCGCTATTAACACAGAATCCACTCACTCCTGAAGGCAACAAGGAGGGTTGTCAAGAAAAGATCACCAGAAGTATGACTTGTGTATATCTTCAAAACTTTAAAAGAAACAAAAGGTGCTCAGCCCCAGCCTTCTGTGGAGTTTATTTTTAGTGTTATATATATGTGTTCAGAATTTATGGAAATGATTGAGGAAAACAACACTATCAGGACAGAGCTTAAATTGTCCTTGGCTTTAAAGATATATTTATGTGTCATTTAACTTCACTGAATTTGAAGTCATACTAACAGTTAGAGATCCTGTAGCGAAAATTCTGCCTTTAAAGTATATAAGTATGCATGTAAGTCCATATCTCCATAAAGCCAAATTTTAAGATGATAATCACTGCAAGCAGAACTACTACCTTACCAGCAAAGGGATCAAAATCCACCATCATTCTGTAGAGATACAGTTAAACAATCTATTTCACAGCCAACCTAAACATTCAGATACATTGAATTACTTCCAAAAAAGCCAAAAAGAAGTACATTTTTTGCAAAACAAACAGTATATTCTAACAGGGTTTTCTGTTAAAATATGTGTTTCTTTTAAACTATTTTTAAAAAGATAAAAAATAAGAAAATCTTTCCAGGATGCTCACGGGAACTAGCATCTCAGCTGAACATAGTGTGAGTGATTATTTCTATGCCATCTTCAATACCATAATCAATATGAAAACTGGGAACATATAACTTTCAATACCTATGTATACATAGACATTTTCTAACTATAAAAAATGAATGACAGATCATAACAAATAGCTCCCTTAGGCATTAAAATTTACTATAGCTGTAGTGGAAATATGATTTTGTTTCTTATTCAAGTATAAAGTTTTCTGTTGACTTACATTTCAACATTAGGTACTTCTACTCAATACGAAAGTGCAAAGTTGCTTTAATGATAGATGTTAACTGTAATACAACAGTGGTTGTATTAGAGATATTTCTCCTGAGCACTTCATTTCAATCTTTAAAAAATCATATTCCACAGTTGATTTTTGTGTTTTGTGAACTTCTACTGAAATCAGATAATATCAACAGAAACAGATGCAGATGCTGCAAAAGCACAGATATAACTGCACCACTGTTAAATGAAGGTCCTACATACAGCCAGACACTGACAACAAGAAGTTACATACCAAACAGAATATATTATTCTTTGTGACTTCTAAAATCTTTGTTGCCAATTACAACTTCAAAACATGCTGAAGCTAAAATATTATAAAGAAAGGCTGATCCTGGTTAAAAGTTGAATCACATTCAAGGTTATTTTTCATGTTTGTGTTAAAGAGCATAGATTTATTAATTTCGTGAACTCAAAATGAGGAAGGTCAATTATGCTTGTGGGTCTAATTACCTAATCCTTTATTGTTCAACTTGTTCTTGTTATGTGAAAAGAATTCAAACTGAAGCTCCCACAAAACTTTTCAGTCTACTTGCTATATCAATGACTACTGTTTAAAACACTAATCCATTACTCATATATTCTTGGTTTGTCTCTGCATCAAAATCAACAATATAGAGCAGGTATTCTGCAATTTCCTGAAGAGCCTCCTATGCCCAAGAAAAGTGAACATGGGGCGGAGTGGGGTCTGCCTCTGAAAAGTAATGATTTGTACATGTGTATACATTCAGTTATTTACTAAAGAGGAGACAGAGAAACATAAAGTCACTCCTCCTTGGAAATATGCTTGTCACAGTCATTTTCCTAAGAAAGCACCACTTGGAACCCTAATTCACACTTAAAAATCCACAAACAAACAAGAAAACACTGACAGATGCTGCACTCAGACACCTGCATTCTGTTCTTCTGGACTGACCCATGGCAGTGATAAGCAGGAACATGGAAGCACACGGGCTCTGCTCACAACCACTGCTTCACAGCCGTGTATCATACTCCAAAGGCTCATCTGCATCATCAGCTTCTCTGGTGCTTGTCTCCATTTCTGTTTCCAAGGCTGGACTGACCCTTTCCAGTGTGCAGTCACTTCTCAAATCTATGGCAAGAAAATAAATAAAATGATGCAGCAAAATAAATGTTTGAAAAGCATGTAGAACCCAGGCAGCGTCCAACCTGATAACAACGGTAGTCTGCTAGCTGTTTCTAGAAGAAAGAAAATCTGCAGCACTGCAAATCAGAGACAGGGGAATAAGACCCCTGGGGGACCCAAAAATGGTGTGAGCTGATACGAAAGAACCTGCTCTGACTGTATTAATTCAGCTGATCTTTCCGCCTATTACCTCTAGCTGCCACAGACACAAATAATAAAAACCAGTAACACTACAGTTTCTGTTTCAGAATAAAACAGCAATTACTCCTCCATGTAGGTACTAAAGAGAAATCACTTGCCCCTAGGAAAAAAGAGGTGGACACAAGAGGCTCCACTTAAACTTGAGAAGAAACTTCTTCTCAGTGAGGGTGACGGAACACTGGAACAGGCTGCCCAGGGAGGTTGTGGAGTCTCCTTCCCTGGAGACATTCAAAACCCGCCTGGACACATTCCTGTGTAACATTATCTAGGTGTTCCTGCTCCGGCAGGGCGATTGGACTAGATGATCTTTTGAGGTCCCTTCCAATCTCTAGCATACTGTGAGGTGGGTGGAAATTCATCCAGCATGGCAATCTGTTTTGGTTTTGTGTCTTTTAAAATCTGCCCTATATCAAAAATAAGCATATTCTACCAAATCTAACACAAATAGGCAACACAATTCTCCAACTAAGCAGAAGGAAAGGCTGCATTGTATAGGATCCTACCCTATGGCCAGGAAACCTTCAGTGAGTTTTCCCTCACCTAATCCATTGCCAATTTTCAGATTGTTACTCTTTCTGATTCTAAAATTATTGCTGATGTTACCTGTAGTGATGACTGAAAAAATGAGCTACCGTTTTGCAAAGCAAAGGAAACAATTCAGTGGGAAGTTTTCAGGCTGAATGCTAACATCAGATTGATCAGCTCCGACCCTTATACAGCTGCTGGGCAGAAGAGCAATATGCTCATATCCACCATTGCAAACAGATAGTGTGCCTGCTATAATCTTTCAGCTCAATAGAATTTTGGTCCTTGTGCTTATAGCATGCTTAGGCCTTTACTTCCTTGCACTTAAAAAGCTATAGATAGATTCAAAATCTTTACTTTGCATACCAGGAAGTTTCAGCCTCCTGCAGCAAGAGTTACAACGGTGCTTTGTGATGAAGTTTCTTATTGCACCTTCTCCTAGGTTTGCTGGTCCAAATACCATCTTTCCAGATCTAAAAGAAAAATTATTAAATAATCAATGAACTCAAAATAAAGCAACTATAGGGGAGAGAGATAATAATGTTTTCTATTTTGTAAATCAGAGATACATTAGCTCTTTGCGTATAGACAATCAAAGCTTAGTACATGCACATCACAAGTTTCTTAGTTCCAGGACAAGAAAACTGCCAGTTCTGGTAAGGTATTAGCCTACATATACCCCAAACCACTTTTTCCTCCTGCTGCATCTGAGATAGGCTCTAAAGGGAGACAGAACAGACTGAGCAATTCCTACAAAAATGCTCAAAGAAAATTTGGGCACAGAGACATTTAGACAACATATGCTAGAATCTGACTGTTGCAGAGTCTCATCAAGCAAATGGTTTGGTCCCAGTTTTGAGGGTCAGCAACTGGGAACAAACCAGAGCTTGCAGTGACTTACTAGTACCTTATTTAAGAACAGAAAGCCAAAAGCAAGCAGAGCCCTAGTCACATTAATATGCACTACAGAAAAAAACACAGTATGTTGCTGACAAGCAAAGCTTTAAAATTTATTGGCTTCTTCCTATACTCATTTCCATGTGTCTGCACTCTGGCCAATTCAGCAACATTACTAGAAGATCCATTTGTGGAAGTATACTGCATATTCTGAATGCAGATGCCACAATCACAAACAGAAGCAAGCTATGCACACACATGTATTAGAAGTACCACATAATTATAACAGATTCTTGTTGTAACAGATTCTTGAAAGATCAGTGTTCATTAATTTTAATACTGCTCAACCATTATTCTCAAGAATTTAATTGACATTCTAGACATCACAGAACACAGCACACAAGAAACATTTCCAAAGAAACTTTATGAATGCTAGTATTTTATTTTAATGATATACAGAGTGTAAACAACACATTTTAAATGTGAAATCAATTACAGCTCTGAAAAGCTACAGAAAAAGATTTTAACTCTTGCAAATCTATCTAATCCACACTAACAAAATATATTCTCTCTAAATAAAGCCGTTTTGAAATATAACACCATCCACTTTCACACAGGAAAAAAGCGATGATTAGCCAAAACTACTATAGAAAGCTTAGTCTCTAAGTTCTGGTAGATGCTAAAGACTGTCTCCTGGATCATCTGAAGGTCCAATCCACCTTTACTGCAAATTAGTACATCAAATGAAGCAAGAAGTGAAATATTATTTAAGTGCCATATATATACGTTAAATGACATGATGCTACATAGTCATTTCTATCCCTTGGTATAATCTGGTAAAATGCCAAAAAGAATAGAACATAATTATTTGCTTGGGCAGGCATAGGAAATTGAGAGGACTTCACTAACTCCAAGGCTACAAAACCACTCTGATACTTCGTCCGATCTTTTATTCCATGCAAAGTGCAGAAAATAGCACAAGACAGACTGATAATTTTCTCATGCTTTTGTGAGGTGAACAGGAATACTGTCTGCAACATATATGAAGCAATCTTCCCTCTCTGTCTAGCACTGGCAATGTTTCAAGAACAATACTGCATTTAAATTTGGAAAATTATTTCAAGAAATATGAGGGTAAATTGGTAAAAATAACAAGAATGAGCAGCAGTCTAGAAATCATGGCACACATGAAAAGATTAGGGAGTAGCCTAAAACGGAAAACAAAATACAAAAAAAAAAGAAAACAAACAAAAAAGAAACAAACAAGCAAACAAAAAACCCCAACAACAACAAAAAATACAATAAAAACAAAACAAAAAAAAAAAAAAAAACAAACAAAAATACATTGAGGAAGAAGATAGTGACTAACTGAGCTTTCTGTAATATTTTTTTTTACCTGTTGACAGTAAACAGGACCAGAAAGAAATATTTCAAGATGGAAATCAAGAAAAATCTTTCAGACAGTAATGATAGGTCTGTGAAGTTTTTAAGGTCATCCTTGGAAAACTTGAAGATTTGTCTGTACAAGACCTATAAAGCCAGGAATGACCCAATGCAGAAGAACCAGCTGAACATTTCAGGTCCCTTCTAATCCTACAAATATGTTACAAACAAGGTCACTCCCCTGGTTATTCAAGTTCTGATTTTATCTCCAAGGAGAGAAAAATACTGAGCCCAGCTTTCCTGTTTCCCAAGCAGTTGCATTAATGTGAGCTAATGGGCTTAAAAAAACAAAACATGCTCCTCCTTTCGTACAGAACCTTACTTACTAGTTATGCTCCATTAATGCATGTCAGATTGCACCAGGTTGGTGCTGGCCGGCAGGCAGGTTAACATAGGCAGTGCTAAAGCAGAGTGCTTCTTATAGTCTAGAGCTGCAAATACTCAAAGCAGACGATAAGATATTTAACAGGGCTTACTGATGGAAGGTAAAGGACTGTGGGGGGCTTCATGGCAAGTAGCATCTCCCCAGGGAGGTGCCCAAATCATTTATTCAGTATGTTTTTGTAGAGGTAGCTTCCAGCCCACCTGTTTCAGTTGTGCACATTTCTACAGCAGAGGTTCAGTTCATGCAGATGTTTTGTCTACTGGCAGCAATTCAACCATAAATTGTTTGGCTGGAAGCACACAGCTTGCTAAAATTCAATAGATTTGTTCATCAAAACAAATGCTAATAAGTAGCTTCAGCGAACATGGTCTCTGCTCATTACTAAAACCTGCAGCCCATCACTATCTGCTTGAGTGCTTTCAAAAGGGAGAGTAAGAGACCTAGCACCTCTGACTCCTTTTCACATATTTGTAATGAGATTTTTGACTACCAGCATCCCTGTTCTCACCCCTCTCAGCAGGCTTAATGCATTAGTTCTATCCAATTTAAACTCAGCCCACTGTTTTTCTCATCTCCAAAGCTGCTCTACAATCTGCAAAGTATCCATGAAAGCTTTACCAACATGGACTTTGTTGTGGATTTGGCGAGTAGTACACACTAAAAAAGGCATCCAGAATACTGCTTATGAGGCAATTCTTCCCAACAGCCAGGCAGTACAGGAGTTTGCAGGGACTGCACTGTCATAACCTTGCTGCTGTGCCTCTATTACTTCTGGTTTTTAAGGAAATCCTTTTGTTAACATTACACCTGCCTTGTTTGATCACACATACATTTTATGAAGTGCACATGGCCAGATCTTCAACCAATGTTAAATATCCATGAATTTACACCAATTTACATCAGCTCGGGATCTGTTGAGACATCACAGTATCTGACATACTTTCCAAAGAAATCTGTTATTTTTGTCTTGGTGCTATATATAAAACCAAGCCAGAATGCACTACCACAGAATTAGAGTTCATCATTTGCCATTACAAAGTCCAATTCCAGGCATGCAGTATGTATGAAAGAAAGGACTCATTACAAGGTAAATACATGAGCCCCTAAATCAATGGAATTACAGAAGCAAAACTTAAATAATTTAAACATAAGTAGTGCTAAAGTTTGAATCACTCCCATCAGACAGATACCATCTATTTTCTCTCAGGCTTCTAAGACAGCGTGAGCTCAAAGCAACTTTTGAGGCAGCATGCATGATTTGATTATCTTACCTACAAATGAAAACTTCAAACAGATCTTGGTACTGCCAGAAATATTTATCTTGTGAGCAAAGGAAGGTCAGAGCAAAGACAGTGCTTTTACATTGTTATTGTTATGACTATTTTAGAAAGTGTTTCTTAGAGCTGGGTATCTGCTCACTGCTTACAGAAACCATCCATCATTTCACTGTCTTACTCCTTTAGATCACTGTATCAAAACAATATAGTTTCACAACTTGCTGTTCTGAAGATTTCCCCGAACTTACATCAAAACTGGTCTTGATTAATTAATCAACACTTCTCTTGAACTAGGACTTACCTGTTTTGAAGATGGTAAAAACAAAGCAATAAAAAGTTCTGAAAATAAGATCTGTGCGATCAAATTTTAGTAAGCATGACAAAATTATTTAATAACAAAAATAATCCAGAACACTAATAAACATGCACTTCAAGAGCATATAGATAAATATCATTTCTATTTTAAAGAGAATAAGCTGAGTTGCCAGGTGAGTGGCCACAGTCTTCAGTAACAGCTATTACAGTTTATCCTACCACTGATATTAAAAAAATCCACTTGAATGGTAGCAAACCAGATTTCCATACATCTGTAGCAATACTTTAAAATGTTTGCTGAAAATTGATGAACAGCTGCATGACCAACCTCTCTGCCTCTCTATCCTAAGCTATGCTTCTGTCCTATGACCCACTTAGGGCAAAAACTTAGTCATTGTGAGGTGTTCGGCGTATTTTTGATGTTGCTTCCAAAATAAATATTACTTGGCTGATACACCTATATTTATAATTTAAAAATCATAAAACATTAATACAGTCATTTATTACTAATCTTATTAATTAAATATTAATAATGGTCTCAGAATTAAGAGCCTGCTTTCAAAATTAACTTGCTATGAGTTCTAGGCAAGTCATCTGATATTTCTATAGTTAATTGAGCTTTGTATTAAATCAGACTATTCATACTTAAATCTTCCTTCCAAACGTTAGAAACCTCTTCAGCCAGATGACATGAACTGACCAAGAGGGAGCCAAGCTGAACACAAGACAGTGGAGGAGCAGAAGTGCCAAGGCACAGGCTGGAGATATGTATGGGTTTAGGGAGAATTTCCATAAAAAAGGACCCTGCAGGACAGCAACTATCAACACTACTGCTTCTCCTTTCACTACAGCAAATACTAGTTAGGAGCAAGGTTACAGGATGGGAGAATGACCATGGTTCTGATTCTGAAATTTGATGCATGAAGGCAGACTGCTATTTCTGTAGTCTCTCCAGGTTTTGTTAAGTTTTCACACATGATTTATCATCTGCATATCATGGCTTTGAGATTGTTAATGTGTAGCAAGCTTAAATGTACCACTAGAACCTATCAAAAAGATAAGAGATCCAGAAGCCCTTTCCTCATCCTCTAAAACCACTGTGGCCCCATATAGTCCATGGAACAGTGGCCAGGGGAAACCAGTTGGGTTTAACATTTAAGTTACTGATGACCACCTTCAGTACAAATTTGTGAAGGGACTTACAGGGTCTTCTGTCTCTTGTTCCTGCTCTCCCTTCACAGCTCTTGAAAACTCCTGTGCCCTTAGCACAGCAACACAGGCTCTTCCCACCTTTCATACACCACTCACCACACATTGGGAGCTGGAACACCTGCAGTCCTTCTAAGCACAGCAGAGTATGGTTTCTCTCCACTGTCATCAATACCTTCATTTAACTCAAACACAGTGTGAAAAATAACTATGTCTCTCACAAATCATAAAAAAACACCCTAACTACAGACTGTTAGCAGAACGTGCGAAGCAAATGATAATTTCATCAGAAATAAACCTACTTTTTGTCTTCAGGTTTAATTACAGATGGATCCGTAAGGTTTTCCCCAACACCTATAATAAAATCAACACCTGTGTGTTACAAAGGAAGGTAATCACAATTTCATAATCTGGCACTTCCAAAAATGTAAATATCCGTGTTCATACTGTCTCATAATTAAAGTGATCATGAGTTAAAAAGAAAATGCAATGAGTATAAAAATCTGTTAGGTAGTGGCAAACATAGAGTTCTTATTACAGTCCTGACTTCAGTTGCTTTGAGGTTTATTTATATGTAGATGGCAGGCTTATGCAAATGCACTAAATATTATGCTGAAACTCAACTAAGCAAAATGTGAACAACTCTAAGACTGCTACTTAAATTGGAGTAAAGGTATTAATCAGATGTGGATCTTATGGATATGAAAATATCTACTCTCGGATACATGTTCTTTTCAAGGTAACAAACATAAGCCACAACTCTGTTATTTGCAGATGCTTGGATCTGTTATCTCTTTTTTTCTTCTGGGTGGCCACGGAGGCTTATTAAATAAATTATTTCATTATGATACCTGAATGCTAATATCTATGTTACATTTTTCCCCAAATTGATGACATACTACCATTTTACCAAAAAGCTCTTTTCTTGAATCCAAGTAAATTATTTTGCTGTGACTGAAATATCCCCAGATTGCAACACTTTTCAATGAAGGTCATTTCAGTTGATGTAAATTAGACAAAATGTGGTGTGTATGTATGTGGAGATGGCCCAGGCAATATATAGTAAATCGTGATATAGACTAATCCTATCAGAACTCCAACAGGAGCAGCCCTTGCATTTTTCCTAAACTCCAGATTGGGGAACTACAAGATAAACACAAGGCAAAAACTAGAGCAGATTTCAGTTTGTTTGAGATGGGAATTGAAGCTCCAGTCTTGATGAGATTTACATAGATGTTTAAATTCTCCATGTCTGAGCCAACACAGTTGGTCTGGAACTGTCAAGAGTTGTATAATAAACTTAAGCAAACTTCAGACAAATTCTAGTATGCTATGGTGAAGGCACAATCTTCCTGTATTTTTTTTTCATATGCAGATAAAACCAAATGAAGGCAAGGATGGAATTATAAATTTATTTTGCATAATAAGCATGTCTTTCTTGTAATTCACAACATATTTACATTTTTTGGTATCCAGAAGCTAAGTCGTTGTCTATCCATACACATTTTTCTTGACAGAAATGACAAACAATAGTGTTTGTACTGTTTGATGGGTGATGTTCATCTTCTGAACATTGTCAACTGTTTTATCTCTTTAAAATATGCCATGTTCCCACTTACACATGTACAGTAAAGTGATCACATGCTCTTTGAAGGAGTCGCAAGACTTTGTGAATAGAACTCAGGTTTGTAGCTTATGCAAACTGCTTACAGATTTATTAATATGAACAGTAAAATATACAGATAGCACTTCACACTTCTGACAGATATACACATATCATGTGCATAAACGTGGGTACGCTTGAATCTCTGGATTATTTATATATGTTAATAAAAATATCTTAACTGTGGAGTGAGGTTTTTTTCTGCTGGCTGAAATGTTCCTTCACACTTTATCTACTTGCTCTTTTGCCCATTGAACCTAGATGTATTTGAAGTCAAATTATTTTCCCTTTACATCTACATTAATCTAGAGTGTCTGTGGATACACGTTTACCAGTGCCACACAACAGATACCCAGGGGGTTCTTGAGCTTTGCCAGTATGTCAATAAGAACAGAATTTGGACCATTCCACAGTATTACATTGTTTCTTAAGGTAATTGCTTTACATTGGGTGTCAAATAGTGATCTCTGCTACAAGTCACCTTGCAAATCCAGGACAAGGAGCTCCCCACGGGTGTACACGTAGGTCCAGTGAGAGAAAGCCAGCATCAGCTCTTCCAGCAAGCTGCTGGGGGTAATCTCATCCCCATTATTGTTGTTGTACTTCCGAAACTCGCCAGTCATGTACTTCTCAATGGTCAGCCACTGGTTCGCTGAACGGCAGTAGATGAGGAAAACTTCCAGGAACCTGTAGATACAAATGCTGTCTATCAGGGCCTGGCAGGATAATGAATACTCTCACAGTCATCACACGGCATGATGCAAAGCAAATATACCATAAAGAAGGACACATCTCCCCTAATTGGAGCATTTGAACAACAGAAGATAACAAATGGTGGGCAGCACAAAGGCTTTCTCAGTTTGGTAACCCTCAAAACAAAGTACTTTTATCAGAAAATATAGTTCATGCACAAACAACAAAACCTGGTTTACTCTATCCTACCATATCATAGAATCATAGAATAGTTAGGGTTGGAAAGGACCTTAAGATTATCTAGTTCCAACCCCTCTGCCGTGGGCAGGGACACCTCACACTAAACCATCTCACCCAAGGCTTCGTCCAACCTGGCTTTGAACACCGCCAGGGATGGAGCATTCACAACCTCCCTGGGCAACCAATTCCAGTGCCTCACCACCCTCATAGTAAAGGCCTTCTTCCTTATATCCAGTCTAAACTTCCCATTTGAGTTTTAACTCATTACCCATTGTCCTATCACTACAGTCCCTAATGAAGAGTCCCTCCCCAGCATCCTTATAGCCCCCCTTCAGATACTGGAAGGCTGCTATGAGGTCTCCACGCAGCCTTCTCTTCTCCAGGCTGAACAGTCCCAACTTTTTCAGCCTGTCTTCATACGGGAGGTGCTCCAGTCCTCTGATCATTCTCGTGGCCCTCCTCTGGACTTGTTCCAACAGTTCCATGTATTTTTATGTTGAGCACACCAGAACTGCACACAATACTGCAAGTGAGGTCTCACAAGAGCAGAGTAGAGGGGCAGGATCACCTCCTTCCACCTGCTGGTCACACTCCTTTTGATGCAGCCCAGGATACAGTTGGCTTTCTGGGCTGCAAGCGCACACTGAAGCCAGCCCATGTTCATTTTCTCATCAACCAACACCCCCGAGTCCTTCATTGCAGGGCTGCTCTGAAACTCTTCTCTGCCCAACATGTAGCTGTGCCTGGGATTGCTCCAACCCAGGTGTAGGACCTTGTAAATGAACTATACCAAACTGTTTATGTTTATTGTATAAAAGATACTTCTTACTTAAATCTAAGTAACAGCATGAAGAAGCTTGTTTTGCCATCACATGTAGCTATAAAGACAAAGTTCAAAGCTGCCTATCTTTCTTCTTATATTTCAACTCACTGGAAAAGAAGGCTACACTAGACCAGGACCTTTGACACCTAATACTTAAAGACAGTGACTTTACCTTGGAGTATAAGGAATAGTATGAGGCTTCACTTGATTGAAGGTATAGATTAACTTCTGGGCAGCCCTTTGCTGTTGGATCTCCTGGAGAAAATAATGTTGTAAACATAATTTTCATTTTCATAGAGAAAGATGACATGAATTTGTCAAAACACACATAAGCACACACATGGACACAATTGTATACAGTTTACAAATGGGAGATATATCTTCCTCAAAAGCTTTTTCCTTTCCAAAAGATAATATCAAACCACGTCAACCATGCTGAAGACATTCTCATGCAAGAGTATAGTATTTAAGGCACATCAGGCTACACCAGTCAGTGTGCCTTTAGGTCTGAACTCACCCTGAGGCAGAGATGCAACACTGTGCCATCATGAAAGATCTTTTGCCAAGTCTGAACCACCTCTGGCAGAAAAGACTTCACAATAAATACTTGTCCCAGCTTTAATACGTCATTTTCAGACCAAGTACAGATGACCTTCATGGCCCTCCGCAGACCCCCATCCATTTCCTCCCTTGACAAGACTTGGATCATTGCAGCCACACCATGCTGGGACCAGGAAGACATGCTTTTATCAAGGCTCATAGGTGAACTTTCTTCTAGCCGATAGACAGTCACTTCCTCTCCATCTTAAATAAATGGAAGTTTTGTTAGCAGCCCCAGGAGAGAAATACATTTTGATTTGTTGTCTTAAAATAACATGACCACTTTACACACCTTTGTAAACCACACTATAAAAGAGCTTTTTTATCATTACTGTTCATCTGTGTGAAAACTTACACTACTTACTACACACATTCTGCTGAAGATCTATTGTGATTGCATAAGTGGTCCAAAGAGTTTGTACTAAATCTCTAAAAAGAGATGAATTTAAGACTTCCTGGACACATCCGCACAAACAGAACTCATAGATTTATATAGATAAGAATATCAATTTCATCTGCCACGCTTTTTTGAGTACTCAAGAGAGGTTGAGCTTTGAAAGTACCTACTTTTAAAGGGTTACCATTTTATCTTCAGTGTATGAATCTTAAATATCCTGAGTGTGGCTCCCTCTGTTTATGCAGTGGAACAGGCTGTTTATCAAGATACATGCAACACTCACAGTATTTTCCTCATAACTGTGCTCAGCCAATTTAAAAAAAAAAAAAAAACACAAAAAAAAAAAACACAAAAAACCAAAACAAGTCAAAAAACACAAACTGCTTCTAACAGTTACTGATTACAAAAATAAAGGGCTGGAGAATGCCACCTTTCAACACAAACGGACAGCTGAGTTGTTTCAAAAACGGTGACTTGGCCACAATGAGCCAAGGAAATTACACTGAAAAGAACATGACTTTCCTTGGAGCAAGGAATCCTAGGAGAACAAGCTAAAGCAAACTGATTGGACATTTACAGTTCTGGTGTTTTAAACTAAGATTTCTTTTTTTCCTATAAATTCCAATGTTATTTATACTGTGCAAAATTTCAGATGATCTGCCCCTGCTGATAACATCTTTCTGAAAGCAGAATAAACCTGGTGAGCTTTAACTCAGTCACACTGTTTCCCTATGCTACTTGTAGTAGCATTGTTCTCTTGCAGCATAAGTGAGACACCTTTCTGTTGCCATCATTTGTAAACTATATAGAAAAGTTAACCGACTTTTTAAACTTGGATTTCCTTCTTGCAACTCACACTATTTTCAATGCTAATTTGTAAGAAAGGCTTTCACCAGCAAGAGTGATGTAACTACATCCACAGAATGGCAAAGAATGGTATATGGAAGGACAAACAGGGTTGAGACAAGTAGATTTCCTCCCTGCTCCCAAGCCTGCCTTCACTAGTTAGCACAAGTGTCAACGCTGTCAAACACCACTGTTTGTACATGTTTTAATTTAAAATAGAGCAACAGAGAGCCGGTGTCTTATATAAAAGACAGATGCTTGAATAAAGATACTATAACTAGACACCCTTTTTAATCTTACATTTATTCTCCGTTTTATTACCGTTTGACAATTTTATACCTAGAAAGGTGCTTCCTGAGAGCTTCAAAGTTTAAAATGTTCACTGTGCTCATAGCTATATTATTATCTGCAGCAATCTAGTCCCAGGAAATCCTATGAGCAATTAGTTGCTGTGAGACAAAATATTCTACCCATTGAAAAGAAGGCACCTAGCTCTCAAGTATCTAGAGGCAGAGTTTCTCCTGCTGTAAGCTAGTACTGCACACTAATTTCAGAACTCTTCCAAACAATTCATATAGTATTCTCTACCACTCTTCAGTTACAGCACAGTTCTTTTTTCCTTGGTATACTATAAGTCGTCCATACCAGATAGAGGAGTAGTGCCCTCTGAACCACCACCTTCTTTATGGGATAGTCTATACCTATAGCTACATGAGAGAGAGTATGACTGTGAGAGAGAGGGGGGTAGAGAGAGACGGAGCAGGTATTAAGGTTAAAGGGAATCTTTTTGCTGTCTTCAGCTATCCTAATGATAGCTATAGAGAAGATGGAGTTAGATTCACCTCTGAAGTTGACAGCAGTCACATGAATGCCAACAGGTAACAAGCTACAACAAGGGAAACACCAACAAATACTGAGAAAAGTACTAGGTTCACACTGAAGTCAGTCAAACACTGGAAAAGGTTGCTCAGAGAAGCTAAGGAATCACCATTTAAAGAAATTTTCAAAATGGAAATGGACAGGACCTCAGCAGCCTGATCTCAACTGGCGACAAAGGGAGTCGGACCAGATGACTTCCAAAAGTCTCTAAACTATTACATGACTACAATTCTATCTTGGTTCACCTGTTTTAGAAAAAAGAATTGCTGAAATTAATCCAAGGAAATTACTCAACATATTTAAAAGATAATGCACTAACTATTTATAACATTTATAAATAACATAACCAGGAAGTTGGTACTCACCAAAGAGCTGAACTGGTGTAAATGGTATCGTCTGAGCAAGTCTCATTAAGTTGTTCCTTTCAACAGCTGCAAAAAACCATTGATTTCACTACTATATGAATAAACAACAAGCTGGCTGAGTTTCAGAAGCATCTGGTGGCACTTTAGTGCAGAAAGCCTAAGAGGGTACAGTGTGATCCTATGTCAGATCTGATCACCATTCTACCCAGACAGCAAATTCCTTTTGCATACTCATGGTATGTCACACGCACTAGCTGCCACTCTTTCCCCCATTCATTGATTCCCTTCTTCCAAGGAAACAGGCTTTCCAGGACAAGCCCCCTACACACTGGCTGGAAGAACTGCTTCGGCTAATTCTCCATCCTCCTCCTTTCACCAAGGGCTGTCACCACTTCCTCCTCCTGTCAGCTCCAGTGCAGCAACATTCACACTGCCAATAAGATGCACTGGCCCCAGATGCCCTCACTGCCTGTCTCATCAAGCTCAAAACTACCTGGGGATTTAACAAGGCATCAAAGGAAAATCCAAGCTTCCCTTGAAAAGAGCACTGTCTCTTCATCTGGGCTCCTCACCAAACATCCCTAACGTTATGTCTCCCTAACTGGCAGCCTATTTCTCAGGCAAACACCTCCAAAACTTCATACAGCTATCTAAATATTTATGGATTTGTCCTAATCATAGCTTCAGTTATCAGGAAGGGGAAGAAAGCTGTGAAGTAAGCCATAAAGAGGGTAAGACCAGAATAAGAAGGCAACTCAGATGCTACAGTGCTGACTGCTTCATTTCCCTATTTGATGGCTGAAGACAAAACTAGCATCCAAAGCAGACAGTCAACCACAACAAACCTGTGTTTCCCTGCAGAACAACCAAAAAGCCTTGATGGGAGACTCTTCCAGAGCCTAGACATCATCTGTCCTTCTTAAGATTAACTCTCTGAGCAGAAATTAATTGGAGATTATTTAGCCCAGAAGAGAAAGCAAAGGAAACCCACACTATGACAACCCATGAATTAAGGTCCTCATTTGAGAAGATCTGCAGACTCCACTTCAAGGCTTGTTTACATATGTCAAATGTGACAGGCATTGGTTAACATGCCTGAGTAGTTCTGGAGCATGGTCCTCCTTTGATGCCTCACTAGGAACAAGCTCTAGTCACAAAATTAGTGCATAGCATGAACAAGGATGTGAAAAGGGGAAATGACAGACCTGTGCTGTCTGTCAGACCCTGCTAGCACTCATTCTAGAGGCCTTAGAAACAATGTGACATGGACATGCACCTGATGCTGAACTTGGGTCAAAACTCAAGTTTTTTGGGGTGTGCAGAGAGGCAGAACTGTACTTGCCTGCACATGACAGCAAAAATAATGCATAAACAGTATATGGTGCCGGATTTCAGTATCAAGCTTTTACTCTTAGTTGGCTAAATTCTACCACAATCTTCCTGAAGAAAGAAAACCTTCACTGGAAACCTCTCAAGTCATTTGTCAACTCATAATGGTAACCACTCTCTGTGCTAAAAAGTCCTACCTAATCTCAAATAGCATGCCTGGCGTGAGCCAAAATAATCACTGCAACAATGCCATGATGTCAGAGAAATTACTCCTGTACACTGATTACGAACCAGGAGGTGTTATTCCCAGTGAAAATCGCGGGTTTTTGAACTTTAGGAGGTTGATAATGCTTCTGGATTATTCCAAGCTTCCGTTTAAAGGCGGCCAACTCCTGTGGGCAATAGAGACATCTACTGGCAAGCTCTGCTGAGCTCTCCTCCGGGAAAAACAAATCCAAACCTTGTGGGAAAATCTGTGCACACTCAGCTCAGGAAAAGACAGGACTGCAGGCAATTAGCATTCAAATGATTTATTCCCTGCCAAATTTGCTGGACTTCATAGGTATATAAACACAGATTAAGTAGTACAGGACCAATTAACTGAAGAAACCAATTCCAGAAAGTACAAAGGAGGATGTGGGAGGTGTCAGGGTGACAGCTATAAACAAATGAGTGGCTCTTCTGCCCTCCCAGGAATCGGAGCATTATTCATTGTTTCTACTGGTAGTTTGAATGAGATTATCTACATTCTCCTCAGGATTTACCAGAAATGATGGAATTGAGCAATTAGCAGCAAGAAAATAATTCATAATTTCCTCACTGGGGTGTTAGGCATGAATTAATAAAGAACCTTCTTAGCAGTGGGCAATTGTGCAACTCTTCAAAATGAAAACCATGGAAGATGACAAGGGAAGAACTAATGTTCTTTTTAATTTCTCAAATTACTTAGCTATCATTCTGGTGTCTCCTGCTTACCTGAGTAGTGATGATGCAGATCTTGAGATGTTTTCAAGCAGGCAAACATATCTGAAATAATGTTTAAAGGATCATTACATTAATTATTACAGCAGATATAAATGCATGATTTTTAATTTCCTTCCATCCCAGAGTTTGTCATGAAACAGATGAACCAGAATTACTGTTTCAACATTCTAAAGAGAAGAATTACTAATAGGCTTTAACTATGTTATAATGTACAGTATATTGGCAGATTTCAGTCATCAGTGTAATACAGCCAGATGACTTATTTATGCAGGGAAATGGTGGGAAACTTGTGCAATTAACCTCAAGGACAAGTAGCTTCTCTAAGACAATTACACCTCTGGGATATTTAAAGCTCTTTGCTGTCTATCATGCTTCACAGCCTTCCAAAGGCATGATTTTTCCAACTTCATCCTCAGATATTAAATGTTCCATTAACTATACTAACACACCAAAGTTATACTAATACTATCCCATTAACCCATAGCATTAAAAATTCACTTAAATAGACAAACAATTTCTGTGGTTACATATTTAACAGGCACAGACAGATCAAACTTGGCCCAAAAATCTTGGTTTCATAAAGTCTTTTTAATAAAACCAAGATTCATGAGCATGTTTCAATCAATTAGACAAAATCACTACGTTCTATTGGAAAACAGTCCTTCAAAATGCCAGATTTCAGAAAATATGTATACCGTACTACTTGCAATTCTGAAAAAGGAGATAATCAAAACTGAATCTGCATTAAAATATTTGAATATTACACTGTTTTTCTTGGTGTATTTTATTTGTTTATATTCCATTTTCTAGCAAAAGAAATCTTAAATTAAAAAAACATAAACGGATTTTGTGGAAAGAGCCAGCATTTCCACTAAGCATCCTTGGTGATTCAAGGTCCCTTTTGCTCTCTTTCTTGCTGGATCCAACTAGTTTTATTGCAGTTCGTATGTTGTAAAACAAAAAAACACGAAGCAGGGAACTGGCATTAAGCCATTCCTTTTGAGGATGGCAAAACTGGATTTTAATCAAAGTAATGGTGCACTCTAGAGACTAGCCCCACAACTCAATAGGCCTGCAGCAGTGTGCTTCTGTACAGCAGCGTTTCGTGCACAGCCGGACCCAGACAGAGCAGTACTTGAAGGAGAGATAGTCTAAGAGCGACTCATTTCTGCACCACAGCTAGCCTCAAAAAGAGGTTGATGCCCAGCTGCTCAGCCTCGTACAGCTAAGTGGCATTTCAGGAAAACTGGAAGATAGACTAAAAGGCAACAAATAGAAGTAAAGTTAACTAACACTCTACTGTTGCAGAACAAAGTTATTTTTCACTATAACCTTGAATTTCTTTATTGGCCACTTCATAACAAATTCAGTCCTTCACTGATTGCATGATTTCAGGGAAAACACACAAACAGAGGAATTACAGCAAACTTCAACTTCAAAAATCATGCATATATTTAAAATTTTATATCTCAATCTATCTTCAGGTATACCGCCTGCTTTAACCTAGGAGGTCTCTTAGACTGCCAGGGATGAATGCAACACCATCATTTTAAACAGTTTCTTCCTGCTGAAAAGGACAACATTACTGGGCAGACTAGAGTAAAAAATAGATATTTTTTTTTAAGATTTTGCAGTTACCATAAGGAAAACATACACTCATAAAACATCTTTCATTTTAAAACACAAATTAGTAACTAACATATATCCTATATCTGATAAGAAAAAGGGTAATGGCTTCAAACTTAAACAGGGGAAGTTCAGGCTGGATTTAAGGAAGAAGTTCTTCACTGTGAGGCACTGGAATGTATTGTCCAAAGTAGTGAACGCTCCACCCCTGGAAATGGCAAGGTTGGACAGAGCCTTGGGTGACACGGCAAGGGGGCTGGAACTGGATGATTTTAAGGTCCTTTCCATCCCTAACCATCCTATGATACTATGAGATAATAGTTGAACATTTTCCTATAACCCTCCAACTATATTAAATTGACTCTTATTTGGACTTTTTACTTCAGAATTGACAGAGTGAGATTTGCAGAGAAAAATTAAAATGAATGACAAGCAACCAAAAACTTACTGTCAGCTTCCTCTGAAGTTCTCAACCTGTTTTAAAACAAACATTTGCTATTTTACTCCAAAATTCTATCATTAAGCTAACACTTATAAAAAGATTTAACCTATGTGAAAGCAAAACTCACAAAGGTTTTACCAGCAAACATAAAACAAAATAACAGCGGAACTTTGTTCATTGCACCAATCAGCAATCTTACTGAACAACAGATACATTTTACAGCATGCTTCTTTTTCTGCTTCATATTGAGCTGCTTTTACAATCCTGCACCACTGTTCATATCATTTACACTGCAATAAGAGTTTCAAAGACCACTTCAATCACGTACACAATTGTTCATTTTTCAATCAATGCTGGGATGTATTCAGAGCTACATATGCTATTACCATTGCTTGCACAAAAACAGACTTTTTAAACTGATGGTCCTTTGGATTAGCAAGGCTGCAGAAAGATGAGAGCATCAGTATTAACATTAAAGCAGTCTTTGTTACAGAAGACAGCAGATATGATTCACCTCACAGGCCAGAGAGATCCCACTGAAGACAATGGGCTAAGTGACAGAATCAGGCCACTCAACAGCCTGTATGTCCTGCTAGTAAGCATGAGGTTTTCCTACTGCCTATAAACAACTGGGTAAAACAAACAGACAAAATAGCCACCACCAAAACACCACCACCACCACCACCAACCAAACCACAAAAAAAAAAAAAAAACACAACACAACAAAACAACAAAAAAACAACAAAACAAAACAAAAAACCCCACAAACTCAACCCAAAAACCAAAACCCACAGTATGGTTAAAAAACCAAAGTATCTTTTTCTCCTCTTTCCACAGTGATATCACATGGGATATGGCAGCTTCCTAGTGTTTTTCATTTATTACATCCATAGTGTTACTAAGTAAGAGAAACATAAAGGAAATCTATGAAAGTAAGAAAGAAAAGGAAAAGGAACATAGACAGCACTGCATGTGAAAAAATACCTCCAATGCTAAAATAATGATTGATCAACCTGGGGAAAAAAATCCAAAACCCCACAGTAAGATTGAAACCACTTTTGAAATCAGTACACTTTCACTAAATATAATCAAAGCTTAATAACTATTGAAAACCCATTAAGAAATCCAAGCTAAATATTTTGTATATGTGCAGACTCAGTACAAAAGAGATTAATCAAAGAATGAGAGACACTTCCAGTAGCTAGCTGCTAGCATTTTAATTATTAAAAAAGGAAACATGCAATTTGCACAGCAAAAGCAAATATAACTTTTCATGCTCACTAGATTGGAATAATGGCTAGTTAAAGATGCTAAGGTGATCCTACTGATTGAATGAGAAGATTAGAATATTTTTACAATAAAAAGGAGTCTGCATTCCACCCAGAATTATATACTTTGTTTATACGGATCTCCCTTGTCTCCATTAATTAGGCTTCATTTAAAGAAACTTAGGTTGAATTGCCGTAACTCTTAATTTTACATAAATTTCTCATCTGAAGTATACTGCAGAACTGAACTGGTAACTTGCAGAAAGTACAGAAGTCTCTTTCTAAAAGCATGTAATGAGCATCTTAATATACTAATAATACATACGATGAGCTCCTGTTCTGATTACTTTTCTTGGTGGTTCCAAATATGCTATTACCCAAATCCTGTAATGAAGAGAGACACTTTTACTGGTAAAATCTGCACATGATTGTCATATACACACTGCACAACTCACAAAGGTACAATCCTTAAAACACTTATTGATATACTTACTGTTTGCATGAATAATGACAGTGCAGGCAGGTGAATCACAATATTGCTATACCTAAACTAAAATGGAACTGATTTGCTCACATTACAGTTTTCCATGATATCTTCATACATTTGAATTAAATAGTCAGATACCCATCTGTATCTCAAAACATGCCCAAAAGCATGTTAAAGGTTGTCTAATATGGACAGTATTAGAGAACTCTCTTTATATTAGAAAATTCCAATTTAGGGATAGGCTTTACAGTTGTTGAAAATAAAATGCACCTAAATCTCAGAAGAAGGTAACACATTGAGCATCTTTCCAGTGATATTTAGATCATATATTTTCCAGGTTTTATAGTTAAAAAAAAGTACTCAAATAGTCTTTTATTTTGCTTCCAGATGTATCAGGGAAAATTGGGCCAGCCAGGTCCTCCTAATATACTAGTCAGAAATGGTATTATTCTTCTGACTAGTACTAGTAGATTTCAATCCTCAGAAAAAGAGCTCCCTAAAAATATTTGAAAACATCAAAGGTTAAAGATAAATTAACTAAAATTCAGCTTTAAATATTATCTGAAACGTAACTCACTATTTTTTAATTTCACTCATATTTTTACCTTGTTGCTTGCTTTGCAGACGAAGAAAAAAAAAGATCTTTAACAAAGCCCAAACCTTCCTACATACACCCTTGCTTTGCTCCCTCCTACACATTAGGAGGGATCTCTGAACCACTGGTATTTAATCGGTAAATCTGAAAAGCACCTCTTTAGGAAATACATATTCTTTAACCTATATCAGACTCCAAATGGAACAGCAACAATTTACATCTCAGTGATACATTTAAACTCTCATAACCCTTTATGACTTAAGTAGAGGCACAGCAACTCGGTGGGTATTGGAAGCTGTATCTTGAAAGAAGAAATAATTTGAAGCTGGTGTTCTAGAATTAACTAGTTCCAGACTAACCCCAATTCTGCTTTAATCACTGAAATTTTTCTGAGGACTTTAAAAATCCGGCCCTTGATTTTTATGCAAGATACCTTAATATGAGTTTTGAAGAACCAAATTACTTGGTCCTTTCACACAGTGCTCCTGGCTGTACCTTTATTTTGCTTGTCTGACCCTGGTTTTCACATTTCAAAGATTTATTGATTCAGATTCCAAGCTCAGTTTTACAGAATACAAAATCAGTACATCTATTTCTCTTTCCCTCTCCCCACTCTTTCATTCAAAACCCTGCCATTTTAAAAATTTAGATTCAAGTTCTCTTCCCTGGTATTTGGGATTCAAATTCTACAGCACTTAGAACAGCAGATCTGAAACAATCTAACTTATTTTTATTCCCTAGAAAAGAAAAAAGGCAATTCATAGAATTTACAATGAAAAATAAGCCAGACTTATAAAGATCGCCATTTAATAACCAAGAGTGCTGTAAGTAAAAAAGGGAAGGAAGGGTGCTGTTGCAAAGAGGAAAGGATTATTTCACAGTTACTTTTCTTAATTTATTCTTTGTTAATTTTCTTTCATACTTCTGGTGAAAGATACATTTTCTTCCATTAGCTACACCATTTTAAAACAGAAATTTCTATAATCCTGATTCCTACCCCCAGTCTTCAGGAAATATAAATTGGTCTAGCTCCATCAAAGTCAATGAACCCATGTTGATTTACATAGGCAAAGAGCCTTTGCATTATGGAGCTGCAAATTAATTCTGATAAATTATAAGATATGTTGGTTTTAAGACAGTGGTTAAGAAATCTAAATTTTGCAATTATCAATATTTAACTCCCACTTTGCAAGAAATAACATCTCTATGGGACAGATTAAGAGCTATGTAGCTAACTTTCCAAAATTTACTTCACTTTGCTCATCATTTCTACCCACTGGTTCAAACCCAACCTGTGTTCTTGCTCATTACTTAATGAAACATCAACCCTTGTGTCATTTCTGACCCACTTCTTCAGACTCATAAATCAAATCTGTGATTTAATAATTTAATATCCCATTTAAATAATCTTAATAGAGTGTTAACAGCCATTAAATTACTCATTTACTTGCACATATGCACTGTGCTTTCAGACAACAGAGTTTCCCATCTCTATAGAGGTATTTCATGACAAACAACCTACAGTGGAAGTCCAGGGACTCAACAGAGCTACCCAGACCTCATCCCAGCTGAAACTATGGACTAGGATGTGCAATCCTGGGTCTTACCTCTTGAGAATGCCTCAGGTAATCACAGAATGGTATGGTATGCCTAACAATGTCTTGATTTTTCATTTTCTGGTGCACACAACTGAGACGTTCCAAACCTACCCAAAAAAGTAGGTGTCAGCTATTTCCAGAGTGCAAATGAACATCTTTACTGCTACAAACTAAACATCTATGTAGTATTATAAAATAAACACCTATATACAATATTCCTCCAGGAAATGTGTATGGGCTATAAAAGCAACAACAGAATTGCATAGTGTTAAAACGGACTGTTTCCATTTTGTCAGCAGATTTCAGAGCGCAGTCCTTCTCAGACCATGTTGTGCTGAGTCACAGCATTCCCTCGTGCTTCTCCCAGCAGCTCGCAGGATACAACCAGTAAGCCATGTAACAGCAAAGCTGAAAGATAATATGAACTATGGAAAGGATTTCTGAGAATGAAAGAGCTGAAGAATTACTAAAAGAAGAGTAAGAATGCCATTCCCTTTTCATTCCAACAGAGATACTACAGAATTCATTTCTTCACTTTGGAGGATGTGTTTCAGAGCAGTGAGTAATGAATAATGCATGCAGAGGGTCTGCCAGCAGATACAGTATTGCAGCACTGCCTGTGAGTGTAAATTCATCAAAAATGAGTGAAACTTACAAGAGTTTATCTTTTCCAATTAGGAAGGATGCCACTTTAGAAAACATAAGACACTTCAGGAGAGGAGGCAAGGATACCATCCTCTTTGCTTCCCACTTATTCCTGAGGATAGTACTCTAGTATCTTCCATACCAGACAGGCAGCACTCCCAGAAAGATTTAACTGACCTTCCATCCAACCTACGTCCCTTTTGCTTCTGCAATGATGCAGTAAATAACCAAGTCACATGTGCCTGCAACCTAAGCCTCATTCTGTAAAAAATATACCATGAGGTGGAAGTAGTGGATGAGACTTTGAATTTGTGGATTTTTATTTATTGTTGCTTTTTAAAAGCTGTTCTGGATTTCATCATCTCCAAAATATCACATACTTAGCTGACTGAAATTAGACACGGTGAGCCAGTTCTTGCTGTGTTTCTCTTGCTCATCCCAGACATTGATCTCTGCAGGCTCTGAGCTCACTTGGGTGTTCTGGGGACAACCATCCACTCTAATCACCTGGCAAGACACAAACAAGGTGACACTTGATTTACAGGATGACTAGCACCTCTACAGTTCCTCTGACAGCTTATGACATGGCCTTTCAGAGCACCACTGAAATGCCAATGTCTGAAATCACTCCCAGATGAGAAAAAAAATTTCCTATTTTTGTTGTTACAAGTTGCAGAAGACAAATTGCTTTTGTCTAGCAAACACTACTGATGAATGATGTAGCACTTTAGCTTTTGAAAACAAAGTTTGAAGTCTCCCTGAATACCTTCAGAGGTATTAACTAGGTCTCAATGTTCAAGTCTAAGATCTGTTGTTGTTGACCTCAGCATCTTATGTAAATATATCAGTCTTCAGCTTCTATCTTATTAAACGGAGATAAATCTTTCCAGCTGACAAACATTTTAGGAATCCCTTTATAACTTTATAAATAGATTTATATGTATATGCACACATATACAGTTATAAAAGTTGCCCCATACGTATGACATAATCAATATGCTGTCTGCAATGTGCTAAATGTTTGATGGATTCAGAGAAAAGACTGTGGGACTCTTGTAGGCAGCAGACAACATTACAAGGCCTGGCTTGCTTGTTTATTGTTGCACACCACATGGATATCTCTAACCACTATTTTAGTCTATCCTAGAGCATACGAAGCCTTCCCAAGTCCTCTTGCCAGCTAAAGTGCAAGGACTGACTCCTTTCCATGTAAAATCAGTAACACCTCTGGTATACTATCTAACAAAGTCCATAGACTTCAACACATTCCAAAACGAAATCCTACACATTCAAACAAACAGGAAATTAAACCAAAGCCTGACAAAAAGATGCCCCAGTTTGTGTGCAGCATTTTAAATGTATACATTTCAAGTAAACTAATCTTAGTGAATGAAAAAGAGAGCTACTGGGTATGTGATTCTCCTGCATCTGCGCATACCGGCACCTGAAGAGTTTTTTGGTTCTTCTTTTCTCTCCCAGACTTTCTGTCTCTGTTTTGTTGTTGTGCTTTTGTTGCCTCACTGTGGTGTAGCTCACTGGATTGTAAAGACTCTGTGGGAAAGTCAGAAAACACCATTATGCTACCATGCTTTTATTTACTAAGAGAAGATCTGATAAGACTGACAGTTGGCACTTCTTCAAAGCAAGCTGAGAAAGACTTCCGACACCCAAAGCTAATAGTCATGCATTTCAGTGCAAAGATATGCACCATCACAAGATATAAAACAACAAATGTTACCCATCATCTCATACTATTCATACTTAGAACTGGATTCTGCTATATTTTAGCTGTTGGTAAGCAAACTTGGTGGTTGACAGGGAGGGTTTTAAACTGGCTATAAAAACGTATACTGCTTCATTCTCCATGCACACATCTGACTTATGATCTGCTAATATACCTCTTAGGGATTGTGTAATTTTAGTTCCTGCAATTCATGCATTGAACCCCCAGGGCAGGAGACTCTCTCAGAGCAAGCACAGTACCTCTTTCACACTGGCTGTGTAGCCACAGCCACAGGGATCCATGGGGAGAATAAGCATGGTGCTGCTTGGATAGCAGGCACACTCAGCAATTCCCCACAGCAGTCAGACCCAGCACAAAGAAAATCCAGACTCTGCTACTACCCTCAACTGCAACTAATACCTAGATGCAATGGAAACATTTTTATCATGTCTTGGGGTCTCCAGTAAAAGACACTCTATAGGTGTAGTGTTTTATAATTACCACCAATGGCCTTGCAGGATTTCCCTCTTTTCTCTTTCTTAGTGGACTGTAAGCTGTTGCTCCTGCAGAAACTCCAGTCCCTCCAGTGTGGGCTGATCCAGAAGGAGGTGCTGCGTTTCAGCTTGTTGTGAGAGATGAAGCTTCTGCGATGTGACCTCTCTGAGTTGCAGAAGGGCTTTGATTCTCTTATCTGGACATGCCCGGGAGGACTACCAGTGCAACTGCAGTCACTGTTATAGGTGGAATGTATGCACAGGGCCTTCTTCTTTGTTTCTGAGCTAAAAACCCCTTTTTCATCACCTTCAGAAAATCCCCAGTTCACATAACCATCTTTAGTTTTTAACCTGTCATCACAGAAGGGTGCTGCATTCTTTTCCATATCCAGTGATGGGTGAAGACCAAGAGAATGATCAGCCTCTATGGCATTAGTCTTTTCTGACAGCAAATGAATAACAAAGTCTCTCTGGTTCCATTCATAATCTTCTGGCTTTTTTCCAACAAGGCTGACACTCTGCAAATTCTGCTGCACAACAATGCTACTCAGTTCACCTCTGAATGCATGGTCCTTGTACTTGTCAGGAGTGCTCAAGAAAGACAAATTTAAGGTGACATCCTCAGAGAAAGACCCTCCCTGATTGTCAGGGGGCACCAGCAAAAATTGTCCATATCTAGGGGTTGATTTAGTCTCAGAAGATACTCCTGAAGTGAGTGTGTCACTTTCTATCTCTATCTTTTGAGAGCTGTCTTCTACCTTGTTGCTCTCCACCCTAAATACATGGTCTTTGCACTCTGATGGCCACTGACTCCTTACCAAGCTCCGTAAAAGGGAGGATGGCATGCTGTAGTAGTGGTATTTCTTATCATACAAACACTCCAGGCTGCTCAAGGTCTTGGAATAGAGCGCATTGCTCCAGCTATGGGGCAGCTTCCTACAGCTTTGAAGCTTTGTGTCAGCCAGTAAGGCTTCTTCCACCTGCAAGGTGTCTACAGCTGAAAGCACTTTCAGGATGTCCACTGTCAAGGCAGACAGGTCTTGTAAATGTCCTAGCTGGCTGTCCAGGGAAAGTAAAGACTCCTTGATACAAAATACTTTCTCATGCACTTCTTTAAGCTGCAGAAACATCTCCTCCACTCTAAATAGAAAAAGAAAATATCATGAAAATACCAAAACATAGATTTTCACTTCTGTTTGCCAGATGATGAAGGAAGCCATTAATACATTTTAAAAAGTCAGTTCACATTTCAAAGAGCCTTTTTTTTTTTTTAATGGTGACTTCCATTCACATGAATACCTATATTTGAAGAAAGCAATCCAAACTTACAAAACATCAATCAAATTACTCGGCAAACAGACAGTGACTTTTAAGGAAACAAGCTTTTTCCTCAAGGAGTATCTGTTCCAAAAAACTGCTATTTTCCTATTAATGTCCATTCATTTCCATAGAACTACTAAACATGGACAGCAAAACACAGCTTTGGAAATGCTGCACCGACTATTGCATTTACAGCTCTAATGCATCATAATGAACTTCCAAGGCTGCTTCCTGCTGTCACTTCTGTAAAGTATGCTTCTTGTCACTCAGTCATGTCGCATTTCTACGTTTCTTGTGTAAGCCTAAGAACATGGCTCACACAAACCTTCAGATATTTTTACATTTCTCAAATACTGAAGACTGGTGGGAAAAGGGTCTTCCCAAGAACCTGTCTGAACTCTGGGAACAGTCTCTTCATCAGTCACCTTCAGGTAAAATTCAAAAGCCCAAAAAGCAAACCGTTTTTTTCTGGTCTTCAAATCCCCAGTGCCTGGAATTATATCATTTTAACCAAATAAATACCTTCAGGCTTTCTGAAGATACACTCTCTGGTCCTCTTAACACTAAGACAATGATAAACTACCTGCAGGCAATATGCAAAAGTTGTTCATTTCCTTTCTCACCGAGTAACTAAAAGACATAGTATTTAACCAGTAGCTGAATAAAATCAAAGACCAGTATTCCAAAATATTTTATTCATCTAAATTAATTTCTTGTTTTAATGTTATGCAATGCTGTGAAGTGTGTTTAACTTTTGCACTAAGGAAAAAATCCTCTCCAGGTCTATATTTATCCACTAAATGAAATCTTTTTGCTCTAATCTATTCAATGTATGAACAAAGCTACTTATTTCATTGCTTTTGCAGGGAACATTCATTTTGCTTGCATGTTTTATTTTAGTATGCAGAAAATAAGATTATGAATACACAAAGATTAAGAAGCTACCTTTCTTTAGGCAAAACAAATTTATTGATGAGATCAGTACTGGCATTCTTTAAGACTTCTTATAGCACTCACTTTCTTTAACTCATCACATTAAACATAATGGCGGGTCTGCCACTGATTTCAATAGAAAGCTAAATTAAGTCAATACTGAGACTTTTGAAACCCCTTTGACAGTTGGGTATTGATATTCTGCAAAGACTATACTGCAGTTAATGCTACAATGGCTATGTGGTTATTTCTGTAAATAGCACTTATACTTAATCACAAGCAATACTCCTGAAGTGTTCTTACACTGCTAAGCCTTTAAATAATAATATGTACTGTATATCATACTCTGGATTTTGTGGTGCCACCTACTCTGCAAAAGTGAAACTGACCAACACCGTACTGTTTATTTAACCACCTGTGCACTGTACACAGCTGGGGCTGCAATTCTGTCAGCAAGGCATCCCAGCAGTCATGCCATTCAAATAGATACGTTACATTTCCATCAAATTAGCAAGGCCTATGCATGCTATTGATCCTCCTGTTCACAGTGGCCATACCTGCTCCAAAAGCATTAGCTTATCAAAGTTTTTTTATATGACAAATGTATATAAAGAGCACAAATTTGCAGCAAAACACACCTTTCTGTTGTCAGACGAATTCTTTCACTGTCACTGGAACTCAGGCTTTCATTCTTCTCATGAAAATATTTTTCCACACACTGTTCCTCAAAGTCATGGAGCTTCTTTAACTCCTCATCACTCAGGTACAGCTCTGAACAAAAGAGATAGGAGTCCGTATGAAGCATGCCGATAAATGTAACTGTTTATAAGCACCCATGATAAAAATAGAAAACTGCTGGACCTGCTTTCCTCCCCCTCCCTGGAGAAGAATGAGTCAGATGTAACTTACAAAGGTTTCACTGTAATTTGGTTCAGGCATTCATTTAGATCTAGTCACCTATAACAATTAGTCCTTTCAGGTACTCAAAGCTACAAAGCTTTTTTTTCACCTAATATCTTCCCATGTTCATATGTATAAAACATTAAGCAAGATTACTGGGTGACGAAAGAAGAACTCATTCAAAAGTTTCAAACTCCACAGCTTGGGCTGCTCATGATGCTATTCTTCTAGCACACCAAGACTTCTGAGAGAACAGATTGATTATAAGTCAGTACGAAGAAATGCATGCAGTGGCAAGCTGCTTCTCTGATCTGAAATCTGTATCTTCCAAGTTTCTTTTTTCTTTCCTTTTTTACATGCCAGAGTCCTCACTGTACTTGCTAGAGGTGTATCAGTGCCAAGCAACATGCCAGTTTATCACAACTATATAGTACCAGCCTGCAAAACACAGCTCAGCAGGGAAGCCCACTGCAGTGTTCTGGGGTACCCCTCTAACTCCAAATAAGACTTGATCACCTTCTAGACTCTTTTCCCCCCTAATCCATCTGTATTCTTGCCTCCAGGATTTTACTCTCTGTATCTCTGTATTTTCATTGATTTTCCACAGGGTGGCACTGGATACCCACTACTAAACCCAGTTAATTATAATCACATCACAATTTAAGTAGAAGAAATGTACGAGGTAATACACAGGCATATAGAAAAGGTATTTAGAAAAGGTACCTGAACAGGAAAAATGTCTCTCTCTGCTAGAAGGACTTTTATATGTGCAAAGCAGTGTTTCAGTTTTTCTTGTGCCTACTGTACCATAGAAGAAAGATACCCTCTATGCTATGTCAGTGACTTACACTATGCATGCATATAAAATAAGCAGTTATAACTTCAAAGGCAGTCTGATGTATCCAGTCATGATGGAGGAGCAGAGCCTAAGAGCAGCAGTAAAGTAGTTCAGCATTGATTAGTTAAGCCCATTTTTCAAAATCCGTAACCACCTGTGAGTGTGCCGGATATCTTCAGGGACTCATGGTCAGCAGAGTGAAGCATAACCCAGCAGGGTATGCTCACCTGTTCTTAGACATCAATGATGTACACTGCAGCAGGAAGGATGAAGCTATATAATGCTATGGGCCAGCCTTTTCCAGTGTTTTTTTGGATAAGGTTACAGCCACCAGCCGCTTCTCCTCCCCATTCTCCTGCCTCACCACACCAACCATCAAGCTCCATGACTGAGTATTCATTCCTATCCCAAAATCTTGTTGTCCCCTCCCTGCAACAGAATCATAGAATCACAGTATAATTTGGGTTTGAAGGGACCTTAAAGATCATCCAGTTCCAAACCCCCTGCCATGGACATGGACACCTTGAACTATACCAGGTTGCTCAAAGGACCATCCAACCTGGCCTTGAACACTTCAGGGATGGAGTATCCACAGCTTCTCTGGGAAACCTGTTCCAGTGTCTCACCACCTCATAGTGAAGAATTTACTCCCAATATCTTGTCTAAATCTACCCTCTGTTTAAAGCTATTACATGTTGCCCTGTCACTACATGCCCTTGTAAAAAGTCCCTCTTATATTTCTTCTAGGCCCCTTTTAGGTACTGGAAGCTGCTCTGAGGTCTCCCCGAAGCACCCAACTCTCTCAGCCTGTCTTTACAGGAGAGTTGCTGTAGCCCTCTGACCATCTTCATAGCCCTGTTCTGCACTTGCCCGTGCAGGCCCATGTCCCTCCTGTGCTAGGGGCCCCAAAGCTGAATGCTGTACTGCAGGTGAGGTCTCATGAGAGCAGAGTAGAGGGGGGAATCACCTCCCTCAACCTCCTGGCCACAATCTTTTTGATGCAGCCCAGCACACAGCTGGCTTTCTGGGCTGCAAGTGCACACTGCTGGCTCATGCTGAGCTTCCCATCAGTCAACACCCCCAAGTTCGCCTCAGGACTGCTCTCAATACAGTCTTCACCAGGATTTGTGCTTGATCTATACTAAAATAGCTAGGGCTGCTCCTAGCTGGCAACAGTTGGACAAGAAACTGGCATCACCTTAAAGGGCATTATGAAGGACCCTGGGATGGAGAAGTCCAGTTGGGAAGAGTGAAGGAGGTGTGCTTCAGGTGCAGTGATGAAAGGGATGGAAGCAGTGAGGAAGTGAGAGGTCCCTGTCCTCTTTCTGCACCTGCCATCACTGGCTCTCCTTTGTCTTTGGGCTCTGTGGCTACTTTCTCTTGGGAATTAAAAAGGAATTGTTGGTCTTTTCAGGACAAATGCACAGAATATATACCTGCAGTATTGTTTACTTTCTTTCAAAATAAGGCTATTCATCCTACAGAAGAAGTTACTGTCACTTTATTTCAGCTCAGAGTTGTGATGTGTCTTGACTGAAGCACAATATGCAGTACAGCAAAAGCCAAATACAAAGAAAAGCATTCCCCTAGTCATTTTTTTCTTACAAGAGTTCTTAGGCAGGCAGGTTAAATTCAGTTTTGCTAATAAAAACAGCCTCCTACCCAGAGAGCTACTCTACTCTCTTTTTTTTTTCTTTGACAAACCAAGCTACAAAGTGATGGGAGGCTGGCAAAACATTTCTTATTAGCTATTTTGTTTGGTCCCCAGCTTAGCTCTGCTTACTTAGTCCAACATCGCCTTCCTCTTGATCCATCTCATCTGGAGGTTGATGGTGGAAAATGCAGTTTATCAGAAGTCCAATGTGGCTCAGAAGGATGAATGGTGGAGGCAGCCATGGCTTCTCATGGTAAGTCATAATGTAGCGGTACCTGTTGTACTTCCAGAGCTTGTTTGATATGGATTTCAAATCAAAATAAACATTGCTGAGAAGACAGAGGGGGAAGGAGTGTAAAACACTCCTGTGAGGAATACTCCCAAGACAGCACAAGATGCTTGTCTACAGATCTATTATGACACTGAAGAAAAGTCTCATCCCTCCAGTGAGGTAAATCAGCTTAGCAACTTTCATTTAACATAGCAGTAGCATGTGCCTGCAGCTACTGTACTGAGAATGAGATCTTCAAAGCTGCCTAAAGGATTTGGAGATCCAATTCCCATTCACATTAATGGGAACTGGGCAAAAAATATCCCTGAAGTGGCTTTGAAATCTCAGCCAGATTATTTAAACATTAATACATAGCTTAACTGAGAATTCAACATTGTCTGCCTCTTTGGACTAGATTAAAGGTAGAAGTCAGGCTAAGGGAAGAATATTAATAAAACAGTTCTGTGCAATCCCCTAAACAAAATATTTGCTCCAACAGGCAGCTTCACAAACAATTCTTCTACAGGGTACTCTTTGGAGCCATGATATTATTAAACATGCCTGTTGTTGCACTGAATAACTTTCCGTATCTACTATCATAAACCCAAGCACAGGAGTGTTGGATTCTTCCAGTTGCACTGGAGGGGACTTCAGTTGCACCGTTATGCTACACACCTAATATATAATCACAAAAACATGAGCTTTGCTTCTGGGAGCATAATTAAATGTATTGCTCATACCCATTTTTGGTCCCACTTCTGGAACAATCAAATCACTAAGCAGAAGATTTAATATCATCATTGCTGAAGGTTTAAACCTAGAAATAAGTCAAATTATAATTTCACAGCTGCATATTAAGAAAAAAAATAAAAAATTACGCCTTACCACAATTTCAGGAAAGGGATTTCTAATTGGAAGTGGGAATAGAATGAGTTTTGGTCATTCGCTTTTCTTGAATATTAATCACTACATTTCTCCATTTGATTTTTCTTTATTTTTAACCTACAGCTGACTTCCAACAGTTTTCTTCACCAGAAATAGGACTCCAGGAAAAAATAATTAACTGCTTGGGTTAGACCACTCTTTACTAGAATTTTAAATAAATTGATCCACTACAAGGATTTTCGTGTTAAAACTTGAGAGATTTGAATTACTATGAAGACACTGACTATAGTGTAATACAAATTACTATAAAATTACTATAAAGACCTCTCCTACTCTGACAGCAGATATTTAAAAAGACATAAAACCACTACATTTAGGTTTCAGTCTAGAACACACCAACTTGCACCAAACAACAGGACTTTTCAAATTATTTCCTAAGGGAAGAGCATGCTTCTACAAAGTCATTATTCTCTTCCTTTGAATACCTTCTCCATCTGCCTGACAATTTAAGTCTTAGGCTACACTATGATGAAATGGGCAGCCCAAGATGCTCTCAGCACAGCAAATACAACTTTTAGGAACAAAGGACAAATAAACCGGTTTGTTTGCCAGCTTGTTGTCCACTTTCAGAGAATTAGATTTTGTTTAAATGGCAAAACAGTTTAGGTGTCTGCTTACTGTCTCCTTCCTCCCACTCTCTTGTTTCCACTGTGCTTTTTTTATTCAGCTTACCCCCATGGAAGATGGGTAAGAACCACCACCAACATGCCCCCTGCTGGGGTACTTTTGGTGAAAAGTTTTTGTGGAAGTGTTGACAGAACATCTATTAGTTGCTTTTGCTTTGGCATCAATTTACCATGGTACCTACTTAAAGAAAGCAATCAGCAAGTTGACCATGATGATATACTGCACAAAGAGGTAGACAGCCTGGAGGAACGGCGTGAGGAAGGAACCGGGAGGACAGTCTTCATTGGTTTCACAGACTGAAAGTGAAGAGTATACAGAGCATGATTAGAATGGAAATCAGAACAAAGCACAGCAATGGCATGTGCTCCTCTTTTGCCACAAGAAACAGAATGGTCCTTATTACTTTCACAGAGATACATTATTAAATTCCCAACTAAAAAGTCTACTCCACTTAAAGGAGATCTGAGACTTCTTTGTGATACTGCTGCTCCGTAGTTTCCATTGCAGTTCAGAAGCTATCCATTTCATGGATACAAGTTCTGATGCCAGTCACCCTGACTTTCTGTTAACGGGAAGATTATACAGCTGAAACGTATTTGGGAGATGGCACATATTCAAGTGAACTGAAATCCAAATCTTTGATCCTTAAAGCAAGCGGCAAAGATTTCACTGACTCCACTGTGGAAAGGACACAGTGCAAAGGATACTTTATCAGTATTGGAGTGTTATTCCTTCAGAATTTCAGTAAGATCACATGTACTCATGTGCAAAAGGATATATGGCTACTAATATTCATAAGATGAAGCAATAAATCATAGAAATTAAGGGATCCTTCTTAATGTTTTTAAATTGTCAAAATACTTTTCACTCTTTATGATTTTTAATTAAATTTTAGATCTTTGATGAAATTTTAAAACGCATTTATAAGGCAGCAGCCCTAAATTGATGACATATTCCACAATATAAAGAGTCACTAGAAAAATTACAGCTTTATTTGGGAAGTGTCAAATGTTTAGCATTAATAAGTGATTAAATGGATTAAATTGTGAAACTTAATAGTGTGTTTTCATTAAAAGAATTATGACATATAACCAAAATACATAGCCATCATGTGACTGTTTCAGAAATAGTAATAGATATAATACCTAAAATTATGTTAATGAATTAGGTCTATGCTGAACTATGTGTGCTAAATATATATATCTACTTGCATACCCACTTTTCTATTTTAGGGACAGTTTTACTTGTACCCATCACTTAGCAGCATGAGAGTGCCTTCCATCTGTAATGCTGAAATAGTTCCTGGAGTGCCTGATTCTTCTCTGGTACTGAGACAAGGTCAAAACCATAATCATTGTGTTCAACTGGTTTATCTGTTTTTTTTTTAATGATGCCAGATAACTCTTACACCGATGAAAAATATTTTTTTCTTTATTTTTCCTTTTTGTGGTTATCATTTTATGTTTTCTTCCTTTAAGGGAACTTTGTAGTCCTTCCTCCAAGAGATCAGCAGCTTTGGATTTGCCTAATTAGAAATCCATTTCACTGCCAAGATCCCCTGACCATGAACTAGCTTAGTATTAGTTCCTATGTGCTTTGCTCTGAGCTTTGCAATATACTTAATTTGACAAGCTAATGTTGAAGGTTTTAAAGCTTAATCTTTATTTTTTAACAAAGAAACTAATATTCTTACCTTTATTCATGCAGTATTACTCACTAAGGACATATATATACTGGAATCAAAATTGTCTGAGAAAGAATAAACTCCGTATGTAGTCTAAACTCTAGTAACCCAAAGCAGATATGTTTCTGCACATATTAAATTTAAGGTGTTGAGCTGTACTATGAAAACTACCTACCATCTATTTCTCCAGCATAGACCTCACCAAACATCATCCAGTAAGGCTGAAATACAATGTCTCGTGCCAGAGTCCAAGAAGGAGGTTCTTCTGGTGAAAGGATTGCCTTTCGTGACACTCCAAAACTCAACAGGACTATGGCCATCATAACTACAATATAGAACATGTTTGCTGTCTGGAAGATATGTGTGCATGAAAGAATTAGCTGTGCTGATTATATGTAAAGGAAATACATTTTAAGGATGAGTATCAATCACTGCTTTTCCAAACCACAACAGAGAAACAGGGCTAATAATCTTAGTGCGCTAAAGGAAGTAAAAATAACATTTCTATGACCTGGATTATCCACGTGTTTTGTAGAGGCTAGAGTCACCCTGGACCAAGAAGGGTAAAATTTCTGCTTGCCTCTCAAGTACCTCTTAAGATCTTAAGCAAGATTTGAAAAATATAAAGACCTTATGATGGTGCTTTTTCCTCAGTGGAATTTCCTCCAAACTAAGAGCAAGAAATAGCAGTGAAAATTATTTTGCCTTCTAACACTGCATTGGAATTACTATGCAAGACAGAATATAAAAGTATTAACAACATAGTTCCCAATAACTGAGGGAAGTTACTGAGGGAATCTGCAGATATCCCTCAAGACTAGGCTGCAGTTCAGCAGTAGTTCTTATACCAAAAGAGAAAAAAAGATTAACTTTGATCTCAGAGAAATTTTGCCAGCTAAAATGGGATATAATTATTTGAATCAAAATGTAAAATACTAATGAGACAGTTTCCAGGAGCTAGGGGAATTATCTACAGTAGTGAGCCTGTCTGCAAGAGACAGTGATTTTTCTTTCTCCTATTATCAAGCTGGATCAGAAACTCAATTCCAATGCAAACATTCTCTTAGGATCGAAGCAAAAATGGCTTTTGTGAATAAATTCAAATAATGAAAAAATTAGAACTGAAATCTAATTATGGTCAACTTACAAATAGAAAAAGATATGGTATTTTCAGGTAATACATTCACTATGAATTAGGTGACCTCTCCTTTGACCACCATTCTTTTCTGTCGCTTCTGACCTTTACACATTACTGTATAGATGCCTTAACTACAGAACTATTTCTCCAAGGTATGATACTTACCATTTTCCCAATCATTGTCAGGTATAGGCCAGCATGCTGATTCACAGCAAAAAGATCAAGGAGCCGAGCATACCAAAATATTATATCCAAGCAGTAAAGTAGCCTCCCCGCAGTTTGAACAGGGGGTTTGGACCAGCGCAAGCCAAAACCAATCATAAATAGGATGATAGCTATAGAATCAGTAAAATTCCAGTATTCATAAATCCACACCTTCACTTTTTGGAGGAATTTTCCAGGTTCCGAGATAAATACCTGAGTAGAATGAGGAAGAAGGGAGGAACAAAACAAAACTCCATTAAAATCACAGACACCTTTTTTTGTCTAAACAGTTTTATGATATTTGAGAATGTGCAATTTTTTTCCTTTTTTTTTAAATTTTCACAGTCCTGTGTACTGCATATTGCCATTCACTGACAACTGAAGTTTTTAATTGCTCAAGTATGCCACACCTAAGGAGCAATTCTGAGCCTGAACCTATTCAGTAAAGAGCGTGCTCCTCAGCAGAAAAAAGCAGGCAGTATAGACTTGTTATGCATATCTACTATTATAAATTAACGAGCATTTTCTAGAGGGATGGTCATCACCTGCAGTAGCCCTTTTGTAAGCCTCTAAGTCATGGAAAGTACCAGCCTAACCTTGCTGACGGAAAAATAACTAATGCTTTTATTTCAGACTGAAAATATAAAGAAAGATCCTTGTATTCCACCAAGGACATGCTAAAAAAAGGAGTGCTGGCAAGTAGCAAGGTAAAGAATGAAATGTTCACCTCTTGAACTGTGAGGTGCCCCAAAGGGATTTTAAGCTTCACTGCACAAATGTGTGAAGTGGAATCTTTGAGAGACCATAAATAAAACCTCTGCACATTACACAAGAGAAGCCAATTACACAGTGCTATGTAAGATCATACTGATAAGTTCCAAGCGGTGAGATTTTGAAATGTTACGCCCTGCTCCTGAAAGAATTTACGCATATGAAGACATTAACATAAATAAGTGAACCTACTCAGTTCAGCTGGACTAACTCACATGAGGAACTAGTTGCAGGATCAGGGCCTAAGGCTTTAACAATTAGTTGATACAATCTAGAGAAATAGAGGTTTGCAGTTACATATAACAAGGCCCTCAGCAGTTACTTAGCTGCATGTGTAAGACACAGTGTCCTATAAAGTCTTTGCCAGCAGACCAGAACTAGTACATGTACAAAGAAAATCAAGTAAAAGACATTAATTTCAAAGTCTCCAATAAATTTCAATGTATAGAACAGCTGATATTTCCACTGCCCCATCATCAACATGATGCAACAGCACAACAGTGATTTCTAAAGTGCTTGCTACTTCACATTTAATTTTTAACTCAATTTGACAATTCTCATGTTGATTTTTTAAATTTTATGCCTTGCAGACACAGAATTTGAATGTTTATCCAAACTTCACTATACTTCCAGCATTTCTGCTGTCCCTTGAAATTCTTCACCTCCCTCATACTGATGTCACAGTCTTCTGAATGATCTGTTATAACAGCATCCTTCATTCAGAACTGACTGCTTTTTTACATTTTATTCTTCTAAAAGTATAGCATTTCAAATGTCATAAAGAAGATGATTCACACTACTGTGGTTTACTAGGTGCTGATTCAATGAAGATATGTTCAATAACATACAATAATTTGGGAAATACACAGCTGCATTCATCTCCACCCTCAGGTTTTGAGTGCAGATTGTGTTCAGAAGCTAAGACTTAATCAACTGAAATTAATTGCAGTTAATTTTGTTTGGAATGTCATTTTTCCATGCTCAATGAGCCCAGCATTAAAAGTTGATGGTGGGTGCGTTTTTTTCCAGTTTCATTTTAAGAGGGTCAGTTAGACTTGATAGAGAGACATAGATTATTCAACACATAACACCTCTTAATTGGCAACAATGTCAGCACTCAAATATCTACAGACAAATTCCACATTTGTTATAAGAAATCTAATGGTCCACTTGCAAAAAAATAAATGAAACAAGTGCCTAAGGGCTTCAAATCTCAGTTCACCATTATCACTCTCAAGCAACCTGCAGCTTTCCACTGGCTTTTCACTGAACAACAGAGATTTAAGGACAGATTTTAGAATTCATTTTCAAAACCTAAGTCTTCAAGTAGAAGACTTCTCAGACATAAATGTCCTGTATAATTCTTTCCTCTGCTAAATTCTCTACAAAAAGAACGGAGGATTTGGCATTCTTCAGTTTATTTTTATTCTCTGGTTTACAATATATTCTCTATAGGTGAGACGTGTGAATGAAAAAGCTTACCTCCCTGACTTTTTCAATGGCAGTGCTGAAAATATAAATGATAACAAGCCACTCTTGCACACTTGGTCTTGGTTCCATCTTCACCAGTACAGTGTAAGTGAAGAGCATGAGAAAAACCATGTACGCCATCTGCAAAACACACCATATACAAACCATATGCACAAAAAACCTCCAACAAATTTCTGCAAATGTACTAACAGGTAATTAGCCTGACCATATGTATTCAAACTAGTGGGTCATTGTCAAATTTTTGAGGTCAAAATCTTTCCTCCAGTTCTCCAAAGTATGTTTATGGGAATATCTTTAAACATCGCTTAGAAATTGGTGCTTTAGTGCTGAAAAATGGGAGCAAAAGTTGTACTATTGCAGCATACGTTCACGTAGGCTCCAAATGCATATATGAGACACACTCTTTTGTCTGCACACACCACTTGAATGTAAAGGCAGCATTATGCTTTTATCTTAACCTTCTACAGGAGCAAGTAATCATTCTACTTGATTCACTGCTGGTTAACCAGTGCCTTCCAAAACAGAGGAAGAACAATATCAGCACATATTTTAAAGGTACCAGAACATGCTATAAATGTATCTGAGATAACAGATTAACAGGTTATAAAGCAGTTAGCCACACCCTGTAAAAGGAGTAACAGTTTATGTACATAGTGGTCTGACCCAACAGGCAGACTAATCTTAAACATCCTAAAATCTACTGACACAGGGTTAATTACTAAATTTGATTTAACAAATGCATGTTTCTCTATAGCAAATGGTCTCCTATAGAATAATATTCACTCCTTCAGAAACAGCTCCTAAAGAAAGGGAAATGAGTATCTGTGAGATACTTAAGGTATTTAAGGACAGCTTCAAATCTATCTCCGCATGTGCAATTAACCACTGTAAAAAGCTGTGCTCTGTTTAAATTTCTTTCTTTTTTTCTTTTCTTTTTTTTTTTCTATTTTTGGTTGTGTTTTTAATGCAGCTGCATGATTTTGGCAGAAAAACGTTTCACTCAATAGTGAGAGAAATATTCAAGTGTCTTCCCATCCACTCCCACCACTAAATGGCTGAAAATCCATGCTAGGCAAAGTAAAAGTCACATTAAGTGGTGTCTGAAAGATCAAAGGAGGGTTTTGGCATTCCAAGTTTCAGCATGATGACCAACCGTGTGAAACCAGAACTTGACAATTGGTGCATTGTAGAACTCATAGAATTTTCTGGTCCCAGGCAGGTTTCCTTGTCCACCGTCTACTTGGCTTTCATCAGACTTCTGAGCAACCTTCTCCACATCATAATCCTTCTTTAAAAGGAAACAATATTTTTAAAGTAAGAAATCATGGTCTACGATTGCAAAGGTTGTGTCATGTTAAAGAGAAGACAGGCACAGATGCTTAAGCTTTGTTCTGAAAATACAAACCATTACTGTAACTTGATTTTGTCTGGTTACAACCATTTCATCTGCAATAATCAACATGCACACTTTTCCACTATAAATACTCATTTAGAGTTTGCTTTATGACTACAGGCAGCAGACTGGGTGTCAGCAGACCTGAATCAACTCAAGTTTCTGACACACATTTCTTTCAGTCTTTAAGCAAAGTCAATCACCTTATGTCTCACTTTCCCCAGCTGTGAAATACAGATAAATAACAGCTCCCAGTATGACATAACTGCATTAGCTAGAACTCCACTGACAACTGTGAGACATTTTAAAATAAGGGAATGAGCACCGCATTTCCACTCATGTATACAGTTGCACAGAAAATGTCAAGATAGTGAAATTCTAAATACAGAATCTAATTGCTATTTTTGACACAGTGTACACCTGATTAGAAGATGAGGATGAAATAAGTACTCTCTTACAAAAATCTGCCTACAAAATTACAGTTAACTTCTTTAATACCTTCAGTAAAATAAAATATATATTAAAAAAAGGCAAATACACTTGATTCTGTATTCAGAATTTGACACTTGTCTGAGTACCACTGTGAAAGTACAAGTATCTGATTGCTGCTGAAGCCTAAGAAGCACAACGACACACAGAAGTGGGCAACTGATAAAACTGTAAGATGCTAAAAGGAGTTTTCAGAGACAAAGGAGAGAGGCCTGGGAAAACTATAAAAAGCTAGTAGCAGGGCAAGGCTGAGGGAACCAAACTGCCTTGTTCAGTTTTGTTTTCATGCTGGCCAAATTCCTTGACTATTATCAATGCTAAAACTTACTACTACTAGACATCTGTAGTACCTCATTTCTTACGTGACATAGTTACCCATACTACATAACATTTTCTTGGTTTATCAGGGGAAAACTGGTTTTTTTTTCATCACACTAGACTCAGAAAAGTGCTAAACTGGAGAATATGATAAACAGAATCATCCTAATCTGTTAACATCAGATCCTCCAAAGTGAAGGAGAGAATTGTCCCATGAAAGAGTGCAATTTCCAGTTGCAGAAGGTCACTGGAACTCATGACTGTATGTGAATGATGCTCTATATGGCACATGAACACTGTTGAAATTGTCTGTTAATTTTTCTATTAACAGAATTTAATTTCATATCAGAGTATTTAAGAAAAAGCCACAGCTTGGCCTTTCATCTTGAACAATGATCTATAATAGACAAAATCATAAATTAAGCTTATTGCTAGCCCAGGAAGGAAGCAGCCCTGCCTGTGGCAGGTCAGAAAAATGCTTACACACATTGCTGTGTTGCCTTCTATCAAACCACAGGGGTGCTGCAAATTATAACTGTCTTGTCCTCTGTATCACAGCTTCTACCTAACCCCATAAATAGCATTTTTGAGCTATATTAGAAAGGCACGGGAGGAGATAATGGCTTCCAGCATTTTTCTGCATCAGGGAAATAAAAGCACAAGTATGGCATTGGCAGGCCTACCATGCTGCTCTGAAAGCCCCCAACAACAATCGGCTTTTAATTTTACACAAATTCAAAGTTAACTGAGAAGGTCCCATGCTTATCTGCTGCAAGGTAAGCACAGCAGAGCAAAGAGATAGCCTGACACCTCTCACCACTTGACAATCCTGCTTTCACTGGTTAGCACCTCACCAACGTTTATCCTTCTGGATGTCAATTCTCCACGCCTGCTGTCTACCTCAGGCTGAAAACTTTTGGAAATTTTATGTTCAAGGAATGTTTTGTGGAGAATGAGAAAAAGAAAGGACAGGAAATTCTGCATTGAGAGTTCAGGACCTGAACTGCCTCACTTCTGTCAGGATCTGAACTGCCTCACTTCTGCTGTTTCCCTGCTTTGGACAACTTGACTGAGCAATATGAATTGAATTTTATGGATGTGATTTTTTTTTTTGTATGATATAGAACCATTCTTTGATTATTTGATATACAAGATTACATAGGTATTTATACGCAGCTTGAATAGACTGTGCTCTAAAATACCTGTGTAAATGACAGATAATTATAATCTCATTATATTTCTTTAAGGCTGGGAAGGATTTTCGCATTATGGCCAGTACAGAAGTGACACCCAGAAGATAAGTAACTTGTCCAAGGTCACTTCAGTCTCCCCAGCTAGGGATTAAACAGTTCCTGAGAGCTGGTTCCTGACACTTCCAGCTGGTCACCCTCTCGTCACTTCTCAAGATTATATGATGGTAAACAGACAGCTCCTGACACAGAAATGCAGACTAACCAGAGATGAGGCATCTTTAGAGCTCACTGGGCTCTGATCCCCATGGTACCATGTGAACTGATGGAAGTCTTGAGACTGAGGCACATGAGACATTTCTGCCTTGCTTTTAAACTCCAGCATCAAGATGGTGGGAGGCAGGAGAATACTCATAATGACCTAAAAGAAATACACGAGTTTCAGGAAAATAATTCAGCGGTGATACCATAGACCTGATACCACAGTCAGCACAAACCTAGTAAAATTCTAGCCTAGGAAGGAGCCCTGATCTAAGGAATCTCTGTATCACACCCCTACAGCTTTCAAACTAATGTGCTGCTCTTGACTATTTTGTGGCTTTGAATAGTGCCATCGTATCTGGGGATACTTTAGATACTGGTCCCTATATCCACAGAACATTCCTCCCATCAGCAGCTTTGCCAGAGAACCAGCAAAGCAGGGCAGTGAGAGCAGGTGGAAAGTGACTGAAGGGTGCTGAGAGAATGGGAACAGCAAAAATACCCTCACAAAATACATTCTCCTAATGTCATCCCGCAGTTACTTTTGCAAAGAAGTAAACTAGAAGCAAGTATTTTTGTTTTCCCTCCCTGCCTTTCTTTTCTCTTTCTTTTCTCTGCACATTCCAAACCATGCTTAACCACATCTCTCTGAAGCTGCATTAGATATGTTCATAACCACAAGACATGTATGAAGCATCTGAACAGCTAGATTGACGCTACCTTAAACCAGGAGTTCTTCCGCATCTTCAGGCGTCCCATCCACATATCAGTCAGCAGCATCTGTGTGCAAGTATGGGACACGAAAGGCCTCAGCCCCACAGACACTGCTAGTTTTAAGCAAGTTGAGTTGCTCCAGTTTTTTAGTTCATAGGTCAGCAACTTCATGGCCATCTGCTCATTTTGTTTGAATGCTTTCTCCAGCACATCTAAGGCAAGTTGCCCAAATTCCCTAGAGAAGAAAGGGGCAGAAGAAAACAGTTCATACAACAAGGATCCATTGAAACTCAGAATCATTGCTGCAAAGAGGCTGGTTTGAGAAGTCCATTAATTAAAATTCAGCTAACAATCTCAATAAGTATGCTTTCTCCCATTTTTCCCATTGTTTTATCAATATATCTAGTGAAAAGTAATTTCAGGAGTAAACTTAAATATTTAGCCCTATTCACAAGATTTAGGGTCATCCTGTTTTATGGGGTTTTATTTATTTTGTTCATGATCCTATTCAGTGATCAAAACAGACCCTATAAAGTTCTGTGTATTTCATTCAACATCAGATTCATCACCACTGTGGGCGAACATTGCATGCAGTTGCAAAAGTCTCTTCTTTGACACTTTTTAAACATCTCTGTAGGGAAGACTCCTCAAGGAAGATACACTTTCCTTTAAATTAAGCATTGTAGCTACGTACAAAGCAAGACAGCACATCTTATTGTACTCTGAGGCATGATGGCTACAGAGCAAAAAAGTACGCCATTAAGAAGAAAAACTACCAGAAAACACAAAGTGAAACTAAAAACTGGAAGAAAATTCTTGGTCTACTTCTTGTTTTATGCACTCAGTTATTTCAGCTTATGTTTTTCTTTAGGTCTTACACTGAGCAGGATTTAAGCACTAATTTTAATTTGTTTATTACCACATGGTACAGGTTTGAAAAGTCCAATGCATATGTGCCATATGGCCTTTTAGCAAGTTGAACTGGAAGGGAAGCTATAAGGGAAATCTCAGTCTTCGACCTGAGCATTTACCAGACAGTAAAGCATGCATTACTCACATATTTTAGCTTTCAGATAAACAACTAGGTAACAAGCTAATAGCTTTCCTTTAACTCTTGACCAGACTGATACATTATATAATATGACTAGCATGCATCTGAAAGTATTTCTTTCACGCCCAATAGTACATGGTACCACTAACCCTACAGACTCTTAGTGGATTACAAAAATATCTAACCATTCTAAGCACTGCAGATAATTAACAGAAGCAAAGGGAGAAGTCATACTTTGAATACTTCTTCAGTTCTTCTGAAGTGTCATCCACCATGTTGCTCTGTTTAGCTTCATGTGCCATTGCCCTGTAGAGTTTACAAGCCACAACGGCTTTGACCATGGCTTCCTCTCCATGCTGCCAGAAGAACATTGCCATCTTCTGCCTTTTCATTAATACTGCCCAAACCAGGAGGTCATTATAGGGGTATATAAAGCCAGATGACTCATAGTTCTCTGCAAAGCTTATACCCTCTTTTGATTTCTTCTTACACTTATGGAAAGCAGTGGTTCTTTCCTATAAATTTGTTTTTCAAAAACAGAGAATCTCAGTGAATGGCTGAACTTCAGATTCAAGAAAATAAAAATGCATGCAAGTCTGAATTACAAGGAGCAAACCATTTGATCATTATATATGTTTAAGTTACAAACCACAGCTGTGATCACATTCAGATTACCGATGCTAAGAAGCTGGTAACATTAGTGGAGAGAAAACACTCCTTCCTCTGTACCCCTGTCATATATAGCCTTCCCTTCCACTGTTGGGAAGTCTCCAAACCCCATGATACCAAGATTCACTTGGTAGGTTGAAATATACACAATGGACCATGAAGGCTGTGTAGTGACCTCATAGCAGACCTTCAGCCATAGCTGAATGAGGCCTACAAGGATGCTGGAGAAGGACCCTTCACCAGGCACTGCAGTGACAGGACAAGGGGTAATGGGTTTAAACTTAAACAGGGGAAGTTCAGGTTAGGTATAAGGAAGCTCCTTACTGTGAGGGTGGTGAGGCACTGGAATGGGCTTCCCAGGGAAGTTGTGAATGCTCCATCCCTGGCGGTGTTTAAGGTCAGGCTGGACAGAGCCTTGGGTGACATGGTCTTGAGTGAGGCACCCCTGCCCATGGCACTGGGGGTCGAACTAGATGATCTTAAGGTCCTTCCCAACCCCAACCATCCCATGATTCTATAACTTGTCATACTTACAGACATTTTTTACTGTCTTCCATATTTGCAATGTAGACTTGCTATATATTCATGTCTGGATATTTCTCCATTAAAGGCAAAAAAAAAATCCTATTGATACAAGTGAGATACCTCAGTGCTATAAGGGGTTCATTTGGTTCACACTAATTCCAATGCAGCCATTTCAATTCATTCTACTTTGTTTTGTCTGTCAGATATTTTATGTGGCCATCTTTGCTCTTTTATCATTATTTCTCTGAAAGAAAATATTCTGTCATGATTTTCCAGATACAGAATCACCTAGGTCGGAAGAGACCTTTAAGATCATCAAGTCCAGCCACTTACCCCAGCACTGCCAAGACCACCACTAAACCATGTCACTGAGGGCCTCATCTACATGGTCTCTGAACACTTCCAGGTACAGTGATTCCACCACTCCCCTGGGAAGCCTGATCATGCTTTCTGTGAAGAAATTTTTCCCAATATCCAATCTAAACCTTCCCTGGCGCAACAAGCTTACTGTAACACTTTAATAAGCAACCATGAGAAAACATCAGGAAAGTCACAGAATTCCTACCATTGCTTCCAAATAAGAAGAGTTTTCACACATGCTTGATGTTCAGAAATAAGGTAATACTACATTTCAGTGAACAAAAGCTCTTAGAAACAAATGGATGGAAGTTAAACAGAATCACAAGGGGCACCTGAGCTTGATATCCACAATAAAATTGCAAGACGTACTTCATGAATAGTGAACAGTAAAACGTTGCTTCTGCTTGAATTTAAGTAGAATTATGATAACTAACAGCCTGACCAGCATGTCTAAAATCTCTCAATAAATTATTAGCAGTCTAATACATAACAAGCAAAGTCTAGAATAAGCAATTATATTACCTTGTATTTGTAAGGCTGTGCTGTTCTGAAGAACTGAGAATGCAAAGTACTTTCAGCAGATCCCATTCTGCTAGCCGACTGATTACTCTGATGAAGAGAATGAGACAGGCTCTGGGAAAAGCTGGAAAGCACTCTCTAGATCCGAAGGCATACCATAAAACACAAGGAAAGAAATGCAAATTAGAGATTAAGTTTGCCTGTACTTACCTCTGACTGCAATGGTGTCTATAGGAACTGATGTTATTCAAAGACTAGTGAGTCAGCGATTGCTGTAACTACCACAGCAGATTACACCACTGAGGAAAAAATACCCTGTTTCATATCTAATTTTAAAAATATATATTTTTCTGAATCTCTTGAATTCAAAATACTGATTTCCCCAGTAGCATCTACCAATTACAACAACACGGCTTGCACCAGATTGGAATCATCCAACCTGGAAGGTCTTCAAACATGTACCATAAAAGGTGCCATAAGTCCTCTAAAGACAGAAGTTCTCTGAATTTTTTGCTGACCATTTCCTCTGAAGAACAGCATGTCTACCATCCCTGGGCATTTTGTTCAGTGTTGATTCAGAGGGAAGGATTTTAAGAGCTAAATCACTAATACTCTTCCCTGTGGTTCCTAGTTATATGATCATGTCATATGACCTTCACCCTTAACCCATACCTGTTAAGGTCTTACTTCATGAGGATACAGTGAAGAACTTTGTAACTTCTCAAATATCTCTTTTTAAGCATTGCATTAAGCCAGTGACACATAGAAAGCTCTGTCTCTATGTTTCTATTCACTTCAAGGAACAGTTTTCATTATTTCTTCTCATTTTCTCAGATCCCCCTGAAGTTCTTCTATTAGTCATGAAAGCAGTACATGGCGATAAGAGGGTTTTGTTGTTTGTTTTTCAACATATGGAAGTACTTCAATCAAAGCTCAGCTCTGCTTTGACAACTGAAGAGAATTCTTACGCAGTAAATCAGCTCCCTCTGTGATGTTGGCAATGTTACTCAGCTAATTTATAGAGAAATTTAAGCTGTTTTCAAGTTACTGGTTTTGGAAAGTTGATGGGGGAAAGTTAAGTGCTAGTATGTTTGCACACTGTTGTTCTGAAGCAGTTTGTTTGTTTGTTTGTAGAGGTGATGCTGCTGATATGCAGGCATGGGACAATGCTATGCCATAATGTGAAACACTTAAGCATCTAGAAGGTGCAGAATGGCACACATGTCCAAGCACAATCCCTCTGCCTGCACAAAGCCATTGCATCATGGATGCAGCCTGGCACACCCAGTATGAGGCTTCCCCTGTGATGATCAGTGTATAATGGAAAAATCTCTGCCAGGCAAACAAAGCTCACTGGCCCAGGCAGGAAGATGCAGCACAAGCACTGAGCTGCTTCTAAAAGGTAAGAGCTTTGCTCAAAAGTAGGGTCAGGATTCTCCATGTTGCTCTTCACTATGCTATGCTGGCATGCTCTAAGTCTAGCTCAATTGCTGTTGAATTCACTATTTTCGTGACATGATTCAAGCTTCAAGGCCGAAACATGCAACTGCTTTGTAAAAGAGAAAACGGTGGTTGGTTCAGCCCTGCTGATATTTATTGATGGATGACAGACCAAGAACACAACCTGGCTACCAGTCACAAAGGTAAATTTACTGACCTACTAGTTAATCTAACAATCACCAGTGGTCTTGGGGGACAGGGAGTAGCTTGGGGAGTGACTGCCTGTTTTATTTGCAACCTTTCCACAGCTGGCAAAGAGATTTATGAGACAGACAAGCATCATCTGAAGACACGAACCATAATGACAACCTGAGCTAGCTTTTGACTTTTCTTGGTCAACATTGGTAGCCATTTCACAGAATTTACCTTGTGTTTCCTGCAGAGGTCATTGTAGAGAATTCGGAAATGCTTCCTTGTGTAGCTGCTCCGGTAAGCTCCACCAAGGAGGTATTCTATCACCAGCCCAATATCAATCAGTGATATCTTGTAATCCAAAGAAAGAGTATTCTGAAACACCAAATGTCACACACATTTCATGATGCTATTACATGCATCATTCAACCATGTCAAAGCCCTACTACTACGAGGGGAGTCTGGAAAAAGATGCAACTGAGAGCTTCTGCCTCTGTCAGGGAAGTGTACACATTCATTAGGCATACGAAACTCCCCTAGGAGAGAGAACACAGGCACATCCACATTTTCAGCCTGAAAAGTGTGACATCTATAGCCCACTGTACCCCCATAGCATAGGGATGTATACTGCAGTGCTCATAAGATCAGCTGCGTTCAACAGGTAATCGTTCTTCAGGTTAATTACCAACAGCCAGAGAGACTGACAAAAATCTTCCTATAACAAGAGAAAACTATCATGGTATGATTTGCTCATTAAACTAGTTCCATAATTAAAAATTAAGAAGTGGCTGAAGCATGTATTTGATGTTGTAGAATAATTCCCAGAGACTGGTAATCTCTTGAAGAGGCTCAAGACTGTCATAACAACTAGGACAGCAGCTGCATGTGTATTAGTTATACCTTCTGAGTCTCTTGCTTCTGTTTAAAGCACCATTTCTCAGTTTAGGTCACTGTTCTTGCAAGACACAAGGTTTGTAACAAATTCTCTGAAAAACAGATTATCTTCCATGCAGATTTTAATGATCATTGGTAAAACCTTAAACCACAACTCTTGGAACTGAAAAATGGGCCTGTATATAGATGCGATCAGAGGGGATATGTATTCTTAACAGGGTACATCTTTCAGACTGTGAAAAGTAATTTTCTTCATTAGACTGAGGTTTTCTTCAGTAGACTAGTAGCAAGCCTCAGTACAGCCAGCTAAGGCCACCCAGTCCTGGGAACAGAAGGCACCAACAGGCTGAGCACACTGGGGCAAAAGCAAGTCTCACAGGACAGAGCTTGTCAGCTCTGTCATTGAGAATTAGGGAAGTATTTCTGACAACCTATACTTGTAGATACTTGTCTTCACTAGGAAGCATTTTTTTTATGCTATCAGGGCAAACCACCATGTATCTCCATTCAAATCTAGCAGCAGCAAAGCTGGTGACACTAATGGAGAAAATTTTCTGAAATCCATGGTCACATCACTTTGCTGACTGTCCTGGCTACTGTGTTACCATATTTAAAAAGATTGCAACTGCACAACCCATCCACAGAACACTTACTCATACTTCCAGTGGCTCAGGTGAAAAAGGCTTTCCAGCCTCTTTGCAGGTCCCAAGTGAGTTTAGCTTACCCAACAGCAAAGTAAGTTTTGAAATTGTGCACCCATTTTCTATGTAAATTCCACTATTCCAATTCAAGTGCCAAAAGCTACCCTTTTTAGATCACAACCTGAGTTTTCCTATAGTGTCCTGAGATGCAACCAGGCCATGGGGTTTAGGAGAGGGGTCATATCAAGGAGCAAATCACTTCAGTATCAGTGAGAAAGACGTTATTTCTCAGCCTGGGAAAGTTCAATGCATTTTCAACACTGACATCTTCCAGATCTATCACATAAGACCTCAGATATGCTCATCGGTCTGAGAAAATACAGAAAATAGTTTACTATGGAGACCAGAATACCCTACACCTATCTACCAAGCCACCAATGAGACTGACATGAAAGTCACCCACAATAAGAAAAGCAGTACTAGAAACCCCACTACTTGAAACCACAGCCTGCCAACAGTCAGATTTATAACTGTGTTTTATCTTAACATTTATACCCAGGAAAGAATTAGCCAATTAATCTAGTTTTGGATTTAGGCATCTCGTGCAGCGGAGACTGGATGCAAAAGGAACAGCTCATCCCTTTCTAATCAGCGCTGCGAGGTAAAGTAGATTACAGAAACACAAAATAAATTAACTGCGTAGCTAACTAACAAAGCTGCTACTAAATTACTAATGGAGGCAGTGCTCCATGCCACAGTCATCCACTGCCACCTTCTGTTCTCCTAGGCAATGCAGCGCATTAAAATAACAGTATTTTGTCACAGTATCTTTTTGTTACTGCTCAACAAGGAAACACATTTTTAGCTTTGGGGAAAAAAAGAAAAGCTTAAAGGCATGAGCATAATTACTGCACTAATTCACTATGTGTTTTGTACAATCAATTCATAATGCCATTTTAGTAACTTTATAATCTGATCTACACAAACTGCCTAGCTTTCAAATTAAGGTATAGGAAGTACCCTTTGGAGCATTCAGTAGTAGTATGCTAGTTAATTGCATAGAGGGATCAGTGGGATGAAAATAAAACCATTTAGTAGATACAGAAGTGTAGTAACGAACCCATCACTTCTAAAATTCCCCTGTATTACTTAGTAGTAGTGTGCCTATGGACACTGACGTTCTAAGCTATCATTTTTGCTCCCCAGAATTTCCTGAGTCTATTACCTGTTTCACATCTTGAACTAGGTGATGCAAAAGTAGGTTTGATGGTCCTTGCTTCTGTGGTGTGAAAAGACAGTAAACAAACATCGTTGTACATTGGAATATCAATACAGTAAAATAAAGCAGCTAAAAGATCGTCAGAGTAAGTTCCTGTGATTCAAACTCCACCCACAAACCTCTTCAAAAACTTTTCAAGACTAATCTGCAACACCTCTACTATCTTAAATCTTGACATATTCTACAGAAAAGTTGGTATCACTTTGCTTAAATGACAAATCATTTTCAGCAAGATAAGCATGTATCACTCACCAGATTAAAATCATATTTCTCATGAGCCTCAGGTGAGTACTCAGTCTGGTTCATGTCAAAGAATTTAAAATAAGAAGCTGTGACACCAATCCAAAAATCCAACATTATAATAAGAAATTTTCAAACCCCTTTTTTTTTTTTCTCAAAAATGTGGCCTAAATATCAAGTCTCCTAAGCAAAAAACAGCATACTTTCTAGCCATTCTTACCGAAAGTTGTATGTGGTTTTCAAATACTCACTGTATTGTAGAGTTCCTCCAAACGAGATATGGTAAGAAAACGGTGCATGTTCACTCCATGCTCTATTAACAACTTCACAAAATCCACACGGTCCATCACTAAAGCATTCAGCATTGCCTGTTCCAAGGCACCAACCTCCACAAGAATGGAGATGAAGGAGAAGCTTAGAAAATTATCTTCTTTTGGAAATTAATAAAACATTCCTGAACAGCCTGATTTGCCTTTACATATACTTAAAGTGCACAGTACAAAAGGATAACATGCTTGAGGAATCATCTGTGTAAAAAAATCCAACAGAGTGGGAGTAAAACTGAGTCTTCATAAACTCAACATCTGCAGAGACTTATACAAATCTAACTTTACAACCAGACTCTGATAACACATTCCCTACTCTTTCATTCACTTCAGAAGCTAATGTATGATAATGCAGGAGGTGGAGGGAAGCTTTTCTTTTTTGATATATGACAAAAGCCAATTCAAGGTGCTGTATTTCAAGATCTCCCTGTAGAACTTGAAGTTCTTTAAAGCAGACTTCTTTTCAAATCTGACAGAGAATCTGCATTAGGATAAACTCTCTCAAAGACACCACAAAGCAGAGTTCTACCTACAGCAGTGTCCAAACAGTGAAAGCATGGCACTTCCACAGAGCTCAGCAGGATTTCTACATGCAAAATAGCAAAGGAATTGGACATAGGAGGTTCATCTAAATCCACAGAAGGAATTTTTACAGAGCACATATGAACAGAAAATGCAGTGGGGTAAGCAGAATGAGGATGCTGGCATACAAATGGGGCAGGTATGGAGCAGGTGCTAGTGCTAACCTGGCACCTGAAGGAAGTCCATTCCACATATATCTTTATATTTGGTGGAAATAATGCTAAAAAATGACCAATAAATGTTACAGAATTGTCACATGTGAAAACTTGTGCACTGCTCCTGAATTATCAGTGTTTCCTCCAGAAATATTTCAAAGTGACCACTCTTGTATTAAATTTCCTCCAGCAGTCATTCCTTGCACTGGCAATGTGTCTAAAGAGGTTTAAACAGCCATCTGGTAACTACTAGGGTGACATTATTCATTATAAAGTCCATTTGAGACTGAGTTGACATTTACGCAGAAACATGGCTACAGCTGCTTACAATCTTTACCTTCTGAACATTTAGGACCAGAGTTCTAAAAAGAAATGCCCACAAACTGTACATAAATGTACATGTTTCCTTAAAACACTTAGAAAAAGACTAATACTGCATGAACAACACCTAAAAAATTGGTGCTTAAATATTTAACTCAAAATCTAAACACAAAACCAAAATAACTACACACAAACTGCAGACCCTGATAACTGCAGGTCTGGCAGATTCTCTCAGTCAGATGGCTACTCCTCTTTTCAAGAAGGCACCTAAGCCAAAAGGAAATTTTAAAACTGTGCTCTTCCTTTTTTTTTTTTTTAGCTCTTCTTTACAATGTATGAAGAAAACACTGTTATTAAGACCTTTTCTCCTGTTTAGTGAAAAGAAAAACTTTCAGGAATATGTAACATTCTAATTTTTGCTTGGAGAAGCACCAAGTGATATAAAACCTGTTTATTACAAGCTCGTTATGTGTTACTTGAAGGAGAGAACACATTCATTACTTGACAATAACTTTTCACTCAAAATGGTGCTGAACTATTGCACTGAAATAGATGTGAACATATGCCTTTTTCAGGTACATATATCTTTTTCAAACTTATCAGAAAGCACAGGAGCTTGGGAGTATGGGGATTGCCAGTGAATCTGTAAGGCCAGAGGATGATCAAGTTATAAAAGAAACACACACGAAGATAAGGGTATTGCAGAAATTGTAAATTAACTCATTGCCTCACCACTCACTACAGAACATGTTAGGAAAGGTCCTACATTAAAGCTGTTCTTTATGGCAGACAAATCTGAGGAACTGTGTCAAATTAAGGTGTAGTAGAAAAGATAATAGAAGCTATCTGTAAAGCAGTAGCAAGTTGTCAAAACCAGGTGGTATTCCCCTAAATGTTCCTACGGAACTGAAGGATAGCTGAAATCTGCCCCTCTAACAGCAGAATGGAAGATGGTGGAAAACATGCCAATTGTAAAAAGGGAAAAGAAGTGTACAAGTTGTTAAAGTATGGCACATCAATACGATTAGAACTTTGGGCAAATATAATAAAACTGCAATATAGAATAGCAATAATAGCAACATGGGTAAATACAGTAGAGTAAGAGGAAGCAAGGCCATTACTTTGTAGAATGAAATCAGAACTCTACCAGAATTTTGGCAGGGACAATGAGGATAAAGCTGTCCAACTGATACAGTAAGTTTGCATTCCCACAAAAGCTTTTGGTGATGGTTTTCTTGACAGACTTCCAAGCAAATTAAGCTGTCATAAGGCAAAGGTCTCCCAGCTGCTTAATAACGGATAAAATTATAGGGAAGGAGATTATTAATAGTAGTGAGAGACCAGGAAAATCACACATATTGACTAATGATTCAATAATATTTGCTGATGATACAAAAATACTCATCATAATAAAACTGATCTTGAAGTGCAGAAAAATCTCATAATATGGGCTAACCAGCCAAAAAAGCAGGTGATATTCAAGACTGGTAAATGTGAAATAACATGTATTTGGGAAACAACCCTACCTGCATGTCAGTCTTGAAACTCAGAAAATATGTCAGTGTATCTGACAGTATCTTCCAAAAGCATAAGTACATATAGCATATGATATATATAAGTATATATACTATATATTATATATACACTATCATATATATAGTATCTGTAGTATATATAAGTATATATAGTATATAGTACATATAAGCAGTGTATATTGACAGTATCTTCCAAAAGCGTAAATACAAGTTGAATGTACACTGGAAACAAGTAAAAAAGTCACACAGACTATTAGGTTCTATACTTAGATGAATACAGAATAATCTATAAAATATTAGTATTTCACTAAATATCTCTGTGAAAAGCCCTTTGTCTTGAATACTGACTAGAGTGCTGGTTTGCCTATCCCAAAATATTTCTTTAAGACCTTAAAAAAAGTACACAGAAGAATAAAGAAGGCTGTCAGGAATATGGAAAAACTGAACACTAAACAGATAATCACCTTGGAAAAGCCAGGAGAAGTGGGAAGACAACAACTACGCAATAGTTCTCTAAAATCTACTGTGTTAAAGATGTTGGGACTAGGAAACTATTATTTGTTATTTTCCATACACAAGTGCCACATCTACACATCTTTTAAATACCGTCAGGAACGCCAACTCAACCACTTCCCAGGGCAGCCTGTTCTAATGCTTGATCACTCTTTCAGTGAAGAAATTTTTCCTAATATCCAATCTGAACCTCTCCTGGTGCAGCTTGGTGCAGAAGAAATTTTTCCTAATATCCAATCTGAACCTCTCCTGGCGCAGTCATTTCCTCTTGTCCTATCATCTGGGAGAAGAAACCGATACCCACCTCACTACAAACTACTTTCAAGTATTTGTAGAGAGTCGCAAGGTTTCCCCTGAGCCTCCACCAAGGAAGAGAAGGCATCAAATTAAAATACAGCCACTAAAATTTAACCCTCTCAGTTTAAGATCTATCTACCTGGTAAAGTCTTTAACACTATTTCCCACAGCATTCTCTTGGAGAAACCGGCTGCTCATGGCTTGGAAAGGCATAGTCTTCACAGTGCAAAAAACTGTCTGGGTGGTCCAGCTCAAAGACTGTGGTGAACGGAATTAAATCCAGTTGGCAGATGCTCAAAAATGGTGTTACCCAGGGTTCACTATTGAGGTTGGTTCTGTTTAATATCTTTATCAATGATCTGGACAAAGCAATCAAATGCACCCTAGTAAGGTTGCAGATGACACCATGTTGGGTGGGAGCCCTGATCTGCTTGAGGGAAGGGAGGTTCTACAGAGGGATCTGGAAAGACTGCACCAGTGGACTAAGGCCAGTCATATGAGGTTCAACAAGGCAAAGTGCCGGGTCCTGCACTTGGTCACAACAACCCCATGCAACAATACAGGCCTGGGGAAGAGCAGCTGGAAAACTGCTCGGTGGAAAAGGACCTGGAGCTGCTGACTGCAGAGCTGAACATGAGTCAGCTTGTGCCCAGGCAGCCAAGAAGGCCAATGGCATCATGGTCTGTATCTGAAATAGGATGGCCAGCAGGGCCAGGGAAGTTATTGTCCCTTTGTACTATGTACTGGTGAGACCACACCTCCAATACTGCAGGCAGTTTTGGGCTCTGTGCTACAATGAAGACATATAGGTGCTGTAGCTCAACCAAAGGAGGCCAATGAAGCTGGTGAAGGGTCTAGAGAACAAGTCTTAATGAAGAGTGGCTAGGGGAATTAAGGTTGCTTAGCCTGAAGAAGTCTACAAAAAACACCCAAAAGGGGGTTGTACCAACGTGGGTTTCAGTCTCTTCTCCCAAGTAACAAGTGACAGGACAAGAGGAAGTGGCCTCAAGTTGCTCAAAGGGACATTTAGATTGAATATTAGGATTTTTTTTTTTTCCCCCAGAAAGTTTGTCAAACATTGGAATTGGCTGCTCAAGAAATTATTTGAATCACTATTCCTGGATATATTTAAAAGATGAGTAAATGTGGCACTCAGGGACATGGTTTAGTGGTGGACTTGGCAGTGTTAAGTTTACAGTTCAACTCAATGATCTTAAAAGGTCAAAGGTGTCTTCCAATCTAAACGATTCTATGATTCTGTATCACTTAATAAAATGTACATGCTGTAAAACAACGCAAGAAGACATTGTGAAAAATGAGTTTTTTTCAAAGTATCAAAACATAACAGGGTATTTAAAAAAAAATCATAAAGGCAAATATATGCACGCATTGTGTAAAGACAAATCTTTTCCACATTCCATAACAACAAACATCCTGCTGGACAGGAATACTGTTAAGGTTATGCAGTTGAACACTCAAAAGTTATAATTCATCACCATGAATAATGGAATTCATTGCTCATTTGTATTTTTCCCCAAAGGGCTTAGTTTTATTCAATTCACAGAGTGAATGAGAATCCCTTAGCAGGAAGGTATTCAACATTTTGTTCTGACTTTATGCTCCAGGTTTGGCAAATCCCTCATTATTCACACACTGTTTAAATCCTGAAAATGAAACCAGCAATTTCCTTCCTTACTTTTCAGTGGGCACCAGAAACCATTCATTTTTACCAGGTTTTGTGCAAGAACATGACATGATCATCTCAACTTTACAGGTAGTGAACTGAGCCCAAAAAGGTAACAACAGCAACAAAAAAATCCTATAATTCATGGTTGTTCAACTGTAGGCATCTCAGGCACAGTCCTCCATGTATTCAACCTTATACACCACAGGAAAACATGGACTGATGATCAATAAACTCAGTTCTCTTGTTGTGTCAGACAATCAGCTACAGTCACTGAAAAAAAAAAAATTACAGCCGCTGCCCATTTTCTAAAATTTACATTGTAAAGAAGAAAAGGCAATCAGGACTGGAAAAATCAGCCTTGTAATTCTTGAAATGGAAAACTTCTAATGTACTTCTGTACTATCTGATGTACACATCAGATATAATTTCTGGAAGAAAACATTTACTCTTACAACAAATGGGAATAGTATGTGTTGAGGTACATACCGTTTTATATTTATCATCTATAAAGAGCATGTACATAAAAATTCACTTAGGGAGGGTTATACTTAAATACTGGACTACATCTGAAAACTTGGAAAGCACAGGTCTGTGCTTTTTATAGGTCTGTGCGTTCTTCCACATGCATAAAAGTTAATGTAGGACTAAATCATGGCTTGCCTTGATTTCAGCTATTCATAAGAATGTCTTGGTGCCATGTTATCACAATTAATTCTACCTTTTTTTTTTTTTTTACCTGGTAACACCATAAAGGGCTGTGATTTCTGTATTTCTGTCTAAGGCTAGGAAAACAGAGGCAACGTTTCTTTGGAGTTTACACCTTTGGAGTAGAGTACTGAGACAAGGGGGCACAAAATCACAAAATGAGATATAGAAACCTTTAGAATTAGTTTTAAGTAATGTTAAGTTTGATGGCTTTGTAACAGTAGCAACAAAATTACTGAGGTGCATGATACATAGAGAAAAAAATAGAGTACAGCTAGAGAACATACTGAGAATCCTCACAAGATAAATCGTTATAGCTGTGACATAGTTTAAGAAAAACAGTCTAGAAGAACAGGACACAGGGATAAGGAGTATCTGGGAACCGCAGGTGTCCAGGATGGGCTACAGTTAAACTAACTGGTAAGTAGGAGGATAGGAGGATTATTATGTCTCTGGTGCTAATTAACCAATTAAACTGGTATGACTGTGCATGCTTCAAAGGCTGCCAGAAGTGATGAAGATTGTTGGAAGAAGTAAACAACCCTCAGAGACCACCACCACAATTCTGTACTCATGCAGGGAACTTTCTGGAAAATTATGTAATCCATATGTAGCCTCATGAATATGTATGTATGCCCAGTGGCTACAAAAGGATGGCTTGTGTGGCAATTCAGAGACACACATTAGGAGGAGCTATCCCCCGCGTCTCCCAGCGCCGCAATAAAGAATACCTGCTTGTCAGCTTGAAAACTTTGCTGGCAAGTTTGCTCCTGGAGTTTTCTCCGAATCAGTACTCTGGGCTACAATGAAATATCCTTGACCACCAACAACTGCCAACACTGGCTTGATGAATACATATCCAGAAGGACCACTGAAACTATTTGGAAGAGCTAGCAGTGAAACTACAGGAATCACCTTGTCTCTGGGGAAACAAATGTATTTGATTTTTTCATCTGATGCACTCCGCAGTTGAACACTTTGCAACTTCAAAAATAACACCTCTCCAAAATAAAAAATGATTACCCCAGAAGACAGACTCCAAGCATCAAATCATGGAAAAGCAGTCATCATAATAAAGCGCAAAGCTGCTATTAAAAACAAAAGGTAGTAGTACCTTCCAGCGTTGTCCATAAACCAGTATGTGTTTCTTGGCAATATCTATCTGGTTCCAGGCCAATGCCAAATCTAGCTGATCCGAAGCAGGCATATTTGTACCTAGGAAACAAGTAAAGTAACAAGAAGTTTTCACACATTGGTGTTACTCCTTTGCTTTGGAAAACATGTATTTTTAGATAGGTACCTTTCAAGAGTGCAGTCAGAATTGCCAAATCAATGTCCTGCTGATCTTCTGACAGCGCATCAAATATGGTTATCTGTTAGAATTGCAGAAGTATACTATTTGAGGTGAGGCAGAGAAGTCTGTAGTTATTTCTTCTTTGTAAGGGCTGGGATAGATTAAATCATACGCATTTCAACACAAACAATGGCAAAGTCCCAGACATGATTTTCCTTTGTTTCACCCAGAAAATGTACCATTTTGCTTTTTAATGCAATGGCATCCCAGGCAAATTGGAATCAACCTACTCCATAACAAATTGAGTCTACTTGCTTTTGACTAGCCTTTAAATCTGAGAAATGTAAAAATGCAGTATGGCTGATATCTACTCAGTATTAAACTCAACAGCCACTCAAAGTGAAACAAAAAATCAAACAAACAAGAATAAAAACATACATATTTTAGTGATTACTGTTACAATTGCCATTACTCCCATAGCAAATACTTGGTCCTCCATCATATTTGAAAAGTCGTAATGGACTAGTGAAATTCCCAGTGAATGGAAAAGGGAAAACATGACCCCCTGTTTTAAAAAGGCTAAAAAGGAAGACCAGGGAACTACAGGCCAGACAGTATCATCTCTGTGTCCAGCAAGATCATGGAGCAGATCCTCCTGGAAAATGTGATAAAGTACATGGACAATAAGAAGGTGATTGGTGACAGCCAACACATCATCATGAAGGGCAAATTTTGCATGACAGATTCAGTGGCTTTCTACGATGGTCCCATGGCTTTGGTGGATAAAGGAAGAGCAACTGATATCATCTACCTGGGTTTATACAAAGCGTTTGATACTGTCCCACACAAAACCTTTGTCTGTAAATGGAGAAACATGGATTTAGCAGGTGGATAAGGAACTGGCTAGACAGTCACACTCAAAGAGTTGCAGTCAATGCAGGCTCAATGTCTGGGTGAAGACCAGTGACAAGTGTCCCTCATTGGCTGGTATTGGGACCAGGATTTTTTAACACCTTTGTTGGCGACATGGACAGTGGGATTGAGTGTGCCCTCAGTAAGTTTGCCGATGACACCAAGATGTATGGTGCACTCAATACACTGGAGGGAAGGGATGCTACTCAGAGGGACGTTGACATGCTCGAGAGGTGGCCTTGTGTGAACCTTGTCAAGTTCAACAAGTCCAGGTGCAAGGTCCTGCACATGGGGCAGTCCAAACAGGGATACAGGCTGGGTGATGAGTGGACTGAGAACAGTCCTGTGGAGAAGCACTTGGGGTTACTGGTGGGTTTAAAACTGGACATGACTAGCAAAATGTGCTTGCAGCCCAGAAACCCAGTCACATCCTGGACTGCATCAAAAGAAGGATGGCCAGCAGGTAGACAGAGGTGATTTTCCCCCTTTAATCCACTCTCGTGAGACCTTTATATGTTTGGTTCTCAGGCCCCCAACATAAGAAGGATATGGACCTTTTTAAGCAAGTCCAGAGGAGGGCCACAAGGATGACCAGAAGGCGGGAGCACCTCTCCTGTAAGGACAGGCTGAGAGAGTTGGGTTTTTGTTCAGCCTGGAGAAGAGAGGACTCCAGGGATGTCTTCTAGCAGCCTTTTATTACTTAAAGTGTGGTACAGCAAAGACTGGGAGGGTCTCTTTATCAGAGAGTGTAGTGATAGGATGAAGGTGGGAGGGAAGAAGAAAAGAGTGAATGAGCAGCTGCATGGTTGCAAGTTACCACTGGGTTTAAACCACCACAGAAGGGTAACGGTTTTAACTGAAAGAGGGTAGATTTAGATCAGATACTAGAAATAAATTCTTTGCTGTGAGGGTGGTGAGGCACTGGCACAGGTTGCCCAGAGAAGCTGTGGATGCTTCATCCTTGGCAGTGTTCAAGGCCAGGTTGGGGGATCTTTGAGTAACCTGGTCTAGTGGAAGTTGTCCCTGTCCGTGGCAGAGGGATTAGAACTAGGTGATCTTTAAGGTCTCTTCCAACCCAAACCATTGTATAATTCTACTTGCAAATAAGCACTTGAGCTACTAAACATGCCAGCACATTTCAAAGGTACACTTTAATACTCAGAGACAAATTTTAGTGCAATTCTGTTATAAGTAGAAAAATAGACAGAAACATTGTAAACTTACAAATAAGACACTAATAAAGAAGGGAAAAAAATAGGAATTACTTGATCTTTCCTGTGAATACAAAGATGTCTGACTTTTTCGTAAAGTTAGGCTGTCATTTCATAAACAAGCACTGAGATTTGAAAGGTTAACTAAACAGGCTATGTAGAGCTACTTAATATATAAATAAGCCCAGACACATTCATGTAATCCTATTTAGAGATAACATCATTACTTTTACAACTGCTGTGTTCATGCCAACCCAATGCAGAAAGAGCAAAAAGTCAAAAGGGTAACTGCAAATGAACACATCCTAAATTCAGAGCACGAACCCTACTCACAGAGTCTCTGTGCTCCATGCATTCCATCAAAATGTGAAATAGATGACTGCATTGTTTCTGTCCCAAGCTAAATGTGTTTTGGATCATCACTAAGACTTCCTTCTTCACTTGAGGGCGCAGCTCCCTGAAAAACAGATATACAACCAAGAAAAAGTGTATTTCTGGCTAATTCTTATCAGCCCAAACGATACCTCAGCAAAAGACGAAACTTGTGTTAATCAGGCATTACTTCTGACCAGATATATATATATATAGGCTACTGGAAACAGAACAAATTAAAAAGATACAATTCTCACAGGATTGTCTGTGAATACAGAGCTAAAAATCACCAGAAGTTTAGCAAACTTCTTATTTTTTTCAATAAACGTATAGGGATAACATTAAATTCCTCATTGTTCATTAGGTTTCATACTTCTCTCATCTTTTTTCCCCTCATTTATATTCCTGTTAACCTTTTCATACATATTTACATTTCTTTTTGAAATGGCGGGAATTTTTTTTAAAGGTCAAAAATGTCAAAGAAAAAGCAAGAGAAGAAAAACTTCTCAAAAGAACACACTAGAGAAATGTAAACACCCCCAAAAGAGTGTTTATAAAAGATAATAAATAAATAATTAGGATATAAAGTTTAAATTGTTCTTTTCTTTTTTATTTGAACAAACCCAGACCATCTTTTTAAAATTGGTTCTTTATTTTAACAGTCCTTGAAAAATTTTTCCCAAAATATTAATTTGCTATACAAATATATGTGTATTTGTTTCCAGTCTGGATGCAAAATTTTCATCAAGGTGGGTGTAACAGAGTGCAGCTGAGGCTGCATAAAGCATAACAGCTAGATGAGTATGACAAACCAGGGTTACCACTGACTAAGTAAACCAAAGTCAAAGACAAGGAACCTTATTCCTTTTCCTTCCCCAGCCTGAGGGTCCTACAGCAACTAACCTCAGCCCTAGCCCCAAAAGTTTTGTGCAACCCAAATCCAAGTCTACTTATACAATACTGATGGCAGGAGAAAAGATTGAATTGAAACCCAAGCAGACCGTCTGGGGCAACCCAATAGTACCCCTTACCAAAGGTGAAAACATAACAACTCAAAATGGCTAGATGTAGTTTCTTTTCCCTCTTAAAAAAAAAAAAAAAAAAGAAAAAAAAAGAAAAAGGCACCATCTTAAATTGGGCAGAATAATTCTTTCAGCATTAGTTTGAGAGTTTGAGACAGGGAAGGAAGAAACTGCTCTCACTTCACAGAAGTAAAGAACAGCAAAAGACCATGGCAGGCTCATTACTAAAACCATAAGATATTATCTCAGAGATGCAAGGAGGAGGAGCATTATGCCACTACTCACCCCGTATCACCTGTGTATTTGTGGGTAAAAGCCAGGATGTCTGCAGCTCTGCCAGTGCCCTCATAGACCACCACAGGGACAGTTGGGCTGGCCCTCACGTACTCCCACACCATTAGGATCACACTGGGGCCTCCTTCCACCACCAATCCAACTACGGGTACACCTTGGCCCATTCCTGTTTCAAAACACACCCAATCAGTTACAAACAGGTCTAAGTCACACACAAAAAAATCAGAATATCTGGTAAATAAATACTTATGAAGGAGTCTCACATATGGCTCAATGGAGAAGAAATCATGCCTTCACCATCTCTAATTTGACTTACACTTTTTAAGATTTTCACAGAACTTCTGCAACCACATCAAAAAGACCATTAAAACCTCCTGATAAATTGTAAGTATCCTTAGCACTAGAAAGAAGAAACATCCTTCAAAATATCAATCTGTTCTTTCCAATAGCTCTTACATGCAAGGACATTGACAGTGTTTGAAATGTGGTCAATATCCATTTATTTACCAATACACGTAGAAAAGTAATCAGCAGTACTCACTTGTGTGTATTTTTTGATGTGATATGTACTTCTCCAAATTCCTCCTGAGCATCATTTCATTCCCATACTTCCCTACAGTCCCATCATCTGCCATTAAAAAATGAGAGTGCATGCTGTTGAGGGTACTTAGCTTGCTGAGTGGATTACCAAGCGTCTGGTACAGGCAAACTACCTAAGAAAACCAAAATAAAAAGATCTTCAAAAAAAGCAATAAAATATCACCATTTTATGGATTCATAGAATCAGAGAACAGATAGGGTTGGAAAGGACCTTAAGATCATCTAGTTCCAACCCCCCTACCATGGCCAGGGACACCTCACACTAAACCATGCCACTCAAGGCTTCGTCCAACCTGGCCTTGAACACCGCCAGGGATGGAGCATTCACAACCTATGTATTGTATTTCTTCATCATACTGTGATCTTCTGAAAGCCTCTACCACACTTTTTGCAGTTCTCCTCAAACACGGGTTTTCCACATTTATTACTACAATTAGTACTACAATTAGTACTACAAAACCACAATTAGTACTACAAAAAAGCATTTCTAAATAGGCTTGCAGTCCTTAGTCAGAGTCACTGCATGCCCTTCTTTGCAACAGCTGAAATACAGTGTCATATTTTTAGTGAATGTATTCCCATTAAAAACGTGAGCTATCATTTATTTAAAATGTTTTCACCATACTCATCAAGGGTTTTTAGAAAGTCATGTAGATTGTGCCTTCACATTGGCAGTCACATAAAGTTCTAGTTTATGAATAAAAATCATGCATATTAATAGCCTATTTGTGTATACCATTGCTCATCCTGAATTATATGAATATACAAAATACATCATTTGCAACCACAAGAGAATTGCCTAATTAATTACAAAATCTCAAAAAGAACTGGAAATTTCCTATAAGAAGAGAAATACTTTAAAACTATTCATTTACATACAAAGGGCAAAATACAGTGCCTCAACATGCCACAGAACTTACTGTTGAGCAAAATGTAAACCTAGTCTAAAATTTAAACCTGTTACTGACGAAAAATATCAAACTAGTGAAATGAAGCCGGCAGAAAATAAAGTATGCAAAAAAGCTGTAACATTCTCTGAACAGGAAGGTTTTTATTAAGGAAATGTGTCCAACTCACATCTTTCCCAATGAGATCGCTCTGGTTCTCAATGATACCCCATGGAGGAATTCCAACAGCAAAGATCTTTCTCAGTTGGGGTGAAGCACGGCCTTTCAAAGCATCCCCCACATGCTTGGACACTCCTAAACAGATAACTAAATCATCATTTTTCTTCTACATCTGGACACCTGCTACAGGACACCAATCAAAGGGCTTCCCCCAATATAATTTATTCTATGGTTATGCTTTAATCAGAAACAAACCATCCCCCCCAACTTGTATATTTGATGTGCACTGCAAGAATTGTAAGGCTCAGATGTAATGCACCACTGCTTCAAACTCAATGCATATTTCTAATTAGTAATACTCATATATGTTGCTAATGGTGCTTTATACCTCCATAAAACTTTATTATTAACACAAATTCACAGGGCATTTCTCCTGTAAGGTCACCAGGTTGCTAAAGAAGCAAAAGTGTTTCATTTCCATGACTTACAGACCCCCACAAATTTTGATAGTAGCTTATAGGGAGTTTCACAGATGAATAAGCTAATGAATGAATTATCCTAATTCAAAACTTTATTAATTATAAAACTTGAGCTAAATTTAGATTTGAAAACTGTTTCAAAAACACCAGTTGCAGTCCTCAGAGCCTAAATATTTCAATGAAGCAGATTAAATTAACTGCAAATAAGTTCTGGTTATCTACGATCAATGTTTCATGTTACATGCACAATATGCTCTACAATATGCACAATTTTTATTAAAAATTCTAAAACCTGAAAATAAAAATAATAAAACTATAAAAATAATGAACTATTTAAAATAGAATGCCTGTCAACAGCAGATGAACATTTAGTTACTCTTTGAACTATACGTTGCTCTTAAGATCTTAATTTTGTGCTAAAATATCACAAATTATCAAACAATTTAATTACATTCACTCTAAATTCATATGCTCATATGCAGAGAAAAAACACCAGAGAAAGACTGAAACAAAGAAAAGTAATTGCACTACCGCTGTTGATGCCTTCTGTAATTATCCAAGCTCCTGTAGTCTCAGCAGCCTTCACCAATCCTTTGCAAAAAACCTGCTTGATCTTTGAGGGAAGCTTGAAATTTTGAATGCCTCCATGAACAGAGATTACTAGCTTTGGCAACTCCATCTGCCATTCCTTAACCATCAGATGCATCAGCTGTTCCAAATTGCTGTCATAAGAGAGCCTAATGTACTGAATAAATAATAATGGGTAAAATAACCATCCTTTAAATACCCCAAAAGAAGAAACTGCAGTATCTTACATCTTACAAAGTTCCCAGCATTAATTCATTAAAGATTTTGTACAGGATTAGCACTTTCACAATACCACTAATGTGACAGCATAAAAATACATCAGTGAGAAATACAGACAGCAAGACAGACTATGCTTAATTGCGGTGAAGTTCAATACAAAAATATCATACAAACACTCTAACCTGACTTACTTTTAGATCCCCCCTGCTCTCTTAATGCAAAAAATCTGATAGTCACCCAAAACCACTTTTTGCCTTTCTTGTGCTGAAGTGATAAAAAGAAAACCAATGTATAAACCGAATCTGTTACCTTAGCATGGTAAGTGTGATCTCCATCTTGAAAATTGATTGTACCAAATGCATCTGTTGGACTCATCTTCGTGTGGTTTTGCACAGACCATTCTTCATTATCTCTCTGTGGGGCAGCCTGATAAACAGGCCAGTTACCGTCCACTCCTGGGTGATCTCCAATCAGTCGTCCACAGCAACATCTCACATTAAAAATAAAACAATTATTTTACATCAAACACATATATAACTCTTGAATCTTAATCAGAATAGGCCAAAAAGCTTTTTGCAAGGAAGGATATTGTAGCTTTCTGACACAGAATGTAACAAAAATTAACTCAGCTGAAAAAATCTCAGCAATGGCAAAATGACGTGGCATTAAATCATTAGTAAGTTTTATTGGATACAAAACTTGTTCTCTGCTTGAGGAACACTAATAACAGTTGGGAGTTTGGACTAGATAATTTTCAAAGGTCCCTTCCAACCCAAACCTTGCTGCGATTCTGTAGGATTCTGTAACTACTTGAGAGTCTCATGTAGCAATTCTGACCTGCAGCTCAGATTTACTGGTCTCATATATAACATTTCAGATGAATATCACAGAACACCAAGTCTCACAATGGCTATTACCACAGGTTATTCTAGGTACAGAAAAAAAATCATTAATCAGGAGGAGAGGAGCAACCATCAGTCTAGAGAAAACTTTAGAGTGAACTTTATACTAACCCTTAAGATGCCAGCAGAGTAAATATACAAAATAAATGGCCTGAAGTGCAATGTTAAGGGAAATTTAGCAGAAGGTTGGTTAGCACTGAAAGTTTGCAACTGAATAAATAACCTAAATTCCGAATTCAATTGGTAATACTGTCAGGCTTTGACATGCTCCAGTCTCTTCTACAAAATTAACTTCAGTGTAATTTATAGTGACATCTGACAGTCCAGTTTTCCTTTAGACATTTCAGAAGTTCAAATACCCTTGGGAATGGAGATGTATTATTCCCTTAAACTCTTTTAAGATATCAAATGGCCTCCAACAACCCAAACTTAACTACTGTGTTCAGACTCAGATGTATTACTTATGGATCTAAGGGCAGGATAGATGTAAACATGTGAAAAATCCTGAAGAGGTACATTCAGAGAGAGTCTTCTGTGGAGATGAGTGAGAACTAATGGGTGAAAGAGAAATAAATTTGAAATAACAAGCAAACAAAAAACAACCACAAAGCAACCATAAGTAAATTAAAGAAGCAACCTGCTTTAGAAAGGCACTTTTTGATACACAGAATCCATGAAGTGATGTTTGCACTCTGTTTTTTTAACAGAGGCAATTTACAATTGATTGATTCAGTGCCCTGCAAAAGCAGACTGGAGAAGAACAATGCAAACAATGTTATTCAGTGGAGAATTAAAGAGTTGTACACTACAGAAGAATTGAGACCTATTGTCACATGTATGATGATGGTTAGCTAGAAGCCAGAAGGCAACAGGTTCTACCAAAAATGCTCACATTTTGTCAAGCTAATGCAATATGGATTAGCTAATTTATACCTTTTCCCTAGCTGAGACAAACAGTAAGATATCTCAGAAATCCAGCAATTTCCCAGAAAGAAGTCAGGCATGTGCTCACAACTGAACCCTACAAAAACAGAGGAAATGATATAGCCCAGGGGTTAGATCATGTTGCGGGGGGAAGCATCACAGAGGGGTTTTATTGCCAAGCTACTCTAACCAGAAATATTGCCCAGTCAGGCTCACTGCATGACTCCACAACTGTTTGCACTGTGATAGCAGCAGAAAAAAATACCAAAACAAAAACCAAACCCAACAGAGATTAGGAGAGGGGGCATAGGAATTGCTGAAATAACCTATTAACCTATGGACCTCATTCTGATGACCCCAAAAGCAAAAAACATTGTAATTTTGCCCCTCATAGACAAACCAAGACAAGCAGGTCAAGGCTCATTTACTAAACAAAAAGTATCCAAGCTGAAACAAGCCATGTTATATCACTTCCAGATGTATAATTAAATTACTATTTCAGAAGACAGTGAAAGATCAACACAAGTAGGAGGTTGCTGCTGACACTGTGTTGTCAAATAACATGTGGACTCAGAAGCCACACTCAAACTACTATGGAGACACATCTAAATTAAAAAACTTTCAGAGCAATGTAGCTGCAAAGCAGATAGTCCAAGGGATGCAGATTTAGGTAAAATCCACCCACAGGGAGCACAAGGCCAATGACTATACTTGTTTATGACTCTCCCTCCCTCTGTAGGTCAAAGAAAAGACCAGAAGAAAGAGATGGGTTGGTCTTCAGAGGACAAAGGTCTCTACAGCCTCCTTGCTCCATTTTTTTTCTGCTGGCTTTTTGGGGAGACTCCAAAAAGGGTAAAAGCAAATGTCAGAAAAAAAATCATATCTTTAGGTGAAAGATTAGAAAAAAAACAAAGATACCCTATTGTCTTTTGACCCAGAAAACATCTTGTGGTCACTGCACTACTCCTAGAGCGGCCTCATGATAACAAGGCCTTTTACCACTAGTCATTCCAAAAGAAAGAGAACCAAATGCCAGTCACAACTAAATTCTATATCACCTTACATTACTCACTTACATACCACATTACACTGAGTCAAAGCAGAGATCCTGTGGAAAGGAACTAATCCTGTGACAAGACAAATCAGTGTAATAACCTTGAAACTGAGAAGCTTAAGGAACACCAAACTGTTTTACTAATTAACATCATTTGTACTACATATTTAACGTTTACATATAAATGCAACCAGACATGAGCTACATTCAGAACAGCTCAGTTATGCTGAGCAGGCAGTGGAAGAACTGCATGTAGGCATACGAAAGTTGTGCAAGGTCTTTGCACAGCTGGGTTTACCTCAGATTATCACAGCAAGAGGTCTGAACTCAGAAGGATTGGTATTTCCCAAATAGTTTATGATCTGCTCCAAGCTGGCATGCTCTCTCTATCTTGCTGTCTAGCAGGAATGGACAAGGTGCTAAGGACTCCTGAGCTACCTGGGAGGTCAAAAGCCAAGACTAAGAGACTGAAAAGTTAGTGACAAGTGCAAGGTCCTGCACCTGGGTTGGAGCAATCCCAGGCACAGCTACAGGTTGGGCAAAGAAGAGATTCAGAGCAGCCCTGCAGAGAAGGACCTGGGGGTGTTGGTCAATGAGAAAATGAACATGAGCCAGCTTCAGTGTGCGCTTGCAGCCCAGAAAGCCAACCATATCCTGGGCTGCATCAAAAGGAGTGTGACCAGCAGGTCGAAGGAGGTGATCCTGCCCCTCTACTCTGCTCTTGTGAGACCTCACCTGGAGTATTGTGTCCAGTTCTGGGGTTCTCAACATAAAAATACATGGAACTGTTGGAACAAGTCCAGAGGAGGGCCACGAGGATGATCAGGGGACTGGAGCACCTCCCCTATGAAGATAGGCTGAGAAAGTTGGGGCTGTTCAGCCTGGCGAAGAGAAGGCTGCATGGAGACCTCATAGCAGCCTTCCAATATCTGAAGGGGGCCTATAAGGATGCTGGGGAGGGACTCTTCATTAGGGACTGTAGTGATAGGACAAGGTGTACTGGGTTAAAACTTAAACAGGGGAAGTTTAGAGTGGATATAAGGAAGAAGTTCTTTATTGTCAGGGTGGTGAGGCACTGGAATGGGTTGTCCAGGAAGGTTGTGAATGCTCCACCCCTGGCAGTGTTCAAGGCCAGGTTGGACGAAGCCTTGGGTGAGACGGTTTAGTGTGAGGTGTCCCTGCCCATGGCAGAGGGGTTGGAACTAGATGATCTTAAGGTCCTTTCCAACCCTAACTATTCTATGAGTCTATCATTCTATATCAGACAATTTGTGAGAACATCTCAGATGTGTAAGGATGCAGAAGCCTGCCATCACATTCTTACATATTCATGCATATGCCACCTGGGATGTGCTCATGAGCACTGCACTGAAGAGCAGATAGAGGACTTTCAACACACTGAGAAGAGTAGGCAAAGGTGCCAGTTAAGTTACTCAAATTTGATTCGCAAGTACTAAATGGGAGTTATTCTACCTAGTATGAGCAAATAGTTGCATAACCCACTCATAAACTGTTTGCAAACCTTGGAAGTTCTCTGCACGTAAGGAAACTTCAACAGATTTCATTTGCCTACAATATTAGGTCGAATTATAGTAGGCATCAAGTACATTCACATGACTTTTGGACTGTTGTGGAAAATGACAGATCTCAGGAGGCCCAAAACCTCTTTCATAGCTGATCCAATAAATACCATATAACCAGTTACAACACTTACATGAAAATTGTTTCCCTTGTTAGGAACAGAAAAATTCCCCTAGAACAAAGTTCTGTGCACGCCTTAAGAATACACAAGGAAACAAGAACAGCTAACATATGGGAAAACAAACTTTCAAGATAATGGCTGACCAAAATGAACATCAGACCCACACACATGTTCTGCATATACAGACAGATGAACAAATAATATTTACATTAATTTAAACAGCATGAAAATGCTAAATGACAAGTGAAAGAAAAAGCTACAAGATAAAAAATCCACAAAGGTAGGGGATGTCTTTACTGAGAAAGTTGAGAGAAAAAAGTAAACTCGCTCTGTGGGGTTCCCATTTCCAGTGATTTGGTGGAAAGCTGATCTTGGTTTGGTTTTCCATCCACCCCCAGGTTAATTTTCATATCAAAGAGCTTCCCAGACCAAATAACAACATGTTGATTCTGCTGGGGGAAGGGAGCAGACTGCAGGACTGTTGTAGTCGCAAAATGTTGGTGTCTTGGGTTCAGCTGTAACAGCTGAAAGCATAGCTGCTAATCCTTCCTAGTAGCTGGTGCAGTGCTGTGTTTCAGCTCTATTCTGAGACCAATGCTGATAACACACTGATGTTTTAGTTGTTGCTAAGAAGCACTTACCCTGATCAATGACTTTTCAGTCTCATGCTCTGCCAGTGAGGAGGGGTGTAAAAAGCCAAGAGGAAGCAGAGACAGGATACCTGACCCAAACTAGCCAAAGGGGTATTCCATACCACAGCATGTCACGTCCAGTGTATAAATTGGGGAGAGTCACGTGGAAGGGCAGATCAGTCCTCAGGTCAGTGGGTGGTGAGCAATTGTATGGTGCATCACTTGTGTTTATTTTCTTCCCTTTCCATTTTTAGTCTTATATTCTCTCCTCTTGTTATTTCCCTTCTCATAATTATAGAATCATCGAATCATAGAATAGTTAGGGTTGGAAAGGACCTTAAGATTATCAAGTTCCAACCCCCCTGCCATGGGCAGGGACACCTCACACTAAACCATATCAATCAAGGCCTCGTCCAACCTGGTCTTGAACAGGTCTTGACAACCTGGTCTTGAACCTAGTAGTAGTAGTAGTAGTTTTGTATTATACCTTAGTTACTGGACTGTTCTTATCTCAACCTGTGGGATTTACATTATTTCGATTCTCCTCCCCATCCAACCCAGAGCTGGGGGGGGGAAGAAGGAGAAGAAGGGGAAGAGCAGATGCATGGTTCTGAGTTACTAGCTGGGCTTTAACCATGACAGTTAGATTGAAAACTACTGATTAATATGAACCACAAAATATTACCTGTCTGAAAAAAACCCACGCATGAATTAAAAATGCCAAAGTGACATAGCTTTTGTTGCTTGCCTTCCCAAAAGCAGGGACTCAGAATGCCCTCTGCCAAGATGAAAAAGCCTTCAGAAAAACTATCAGCAGGGATGTTTCTAATACCGTCCTTCTTCTTCCTTTATTTTGTTCTTTCTTTTCCCATAATTCTTACTGTTTATTTTCATAGAATCATAGAATCATAGAATGGTTAGGGTTGGAAAAGACCTTAAAATCAGCTAGTTCCAACCCCCCTGCCATGGGCAGGGACACCTCACACTACACCATCTCACCCAAGGCTCTGTCCAACCTGGCCTTGAACATCACCAGGGATGGAGCATTCACAACTTCCCCGGGCAACCCATTCCAGTGCCTCACCACTCTTACAGTAAAGAACTTCCTCCTTATACCCAATCTAAACTTCCCCTGTTTAAGTTTTAACCCGTTACCCCTTGCCCTATCACTACAGTCCCTAATGAAGAGTCCCTCCCCATCATCCTTATAGGCCCCCTTCAGATACTGGAAGGCTGCTATGAGGTCTATTTTGCCTCACTCTCCTTCATATCACCCAGGATACAGCTGGAATTGCCTCCCACTTAAAAGCACATTTCTTTTTTTCATTCCTCAGAAGAAGATTAAGACAGATTCATACACACACACAAAGTACTTGGATAAAATTTTCTATTGCGAATAATGAAAGGCTATCATACAAGTTATTTCACCCGGATTGATGCTAAATATTCTCCAGCACACCCCCAGAAATGCTGCTCTGACAATACAAGAAGAAGGATATTTTTGTTGTAATTACTTTCTTAACTAAGAATGACTATCACTAATTTCAGGTCATTACAAAAATCATAGATATACATTTATGTACTCTTACCTGATTAAATTCTGACACACCTGGCATCCTGCAGGACACCTGTGATAAAAGATGCATAATTAATACATGCTTGCATAAAAGAAAACATCTGTAATGTTATTCAGAAAGTATTCATTCACCTGTGAAATATTCTCATCAACAGCATTACAGGCTGTGTGCTCTTCTGCACTCAGAATCATACCCCTGGATAATACACTGGGTGATTTGTTTGCCATTTTACACCTCAGACTGTGCGTCGAATCTGCATTTCATAGATGAGTTACCTCTCTTAGCTACTCTACACTATCCAGGTGTTCAAAACAATATGATCAGTATTACAAGTTTACATTCTCAGAATATGGTATCACTGAGTTTAATTATCCAACACCATCCACTGGATATGCAATGTGGAATGCCAATTATGTTTGCTTTCTCAGGTTCTAGAACACAGATTGAGGATTTGATCCTTTCATCAGTTTTTTCACACTCTACACCAGCCTGGGCAGAAACCTCTACCTCAGAAGCCTGTGAGCAGCAGTAGGCATTACTCTAAGGAAAGGATAAGATGTTGGTACAGGATTAAGAATTCCTGTGCAGCAGTAACTCCATGTGACTCAATCTCTCAATTGGATGCCATCCTACAGTTTTAGTCATCAGTCAGAGAGAATCACGTATAAGAAGCCCAGGAAGGTCAATTGTTGCCAACTTCTAATTCAAAACGTACCAGTGACAGTATCTATGAAAAACCACACACACAAGCAATCACCAGTGACGTCACTGCAAAACTTCCAAGAACTTCATCCAAGCTACACACAACATCCATAAGAAATTATTCTTTATGAAAAATAAGAGAAATTCATTATTTTACCTGTGAGGATCTTTTGAACTGGGAACGATCTGTGCACATTCTCTTTTACTGAAGACCTCTTCAATCCAGGATTTGGGGGACTGAAAAGACATTTCAAACACAATTGTATTCCTGAACTTCAGTATATAATGCCAAAAATTGCACTATAACATCTACGTGGCTGTAACACAGAAAGATACCCATCACGATATTAGATGAAACCAAACACTGTAAGGGGAAGTTACAGCTCTGAACAGTCTTAGCCTTTCACACCCAAGATTCACAAAGCTCCATAGAAAGATCAATATTAAAATTTATCCCCACCCCTCACTAATAAACATGACAATTATTTAGAGGATCTGTCAAACACATGTGCAATAGAGGAAATGGTAAAAATGAATCAGGACTGCTTAAAGGACTGTACTTCCCTTCTGTCAGAAGACTAGCAATCTTCCTAAAGCTGTGTCAAAAAAAGGCAAGGTTTTCTTTTTACCTGAAAGAGATGGTTGATTCCTTCTTTTATTTTTCTTAACAGACTTAAGAATAGATTCATCTTGGTTGTATCTTTATTCAACTAGGACTACAGTCAAATACAAAAGCAGGGACCAAAGACTAGTCCTAGCACTCGAGAGTATGTCAAGTTAGTTTCATTCACTGGCCTCCTGCGACACTGTGAAGTGTCTCAGCAATGCCTGTTGCAGACAAGTAAACTGAACAGTCACTGTGGTATCAGATTTTTTTTCAAACAACCTGACTGGAAGTCTTTGAACTTCTTTCTCTTCAAGCCTAGCAGGAGCAAATTTCCTGAAAGGAATGATAGTTTTTGGATGCTGAACTTCGAAATCTCTGGGGCTGAATTTAGTAATCACTGGAAGCAAAGGATTCTTTTTGTTGTCAAAGGGAGCTACCTCCACAATAAATACACAATGGACAGACATCTTATTGTAAAGAGTAAATAAAACTGTACCGACCATTCTGTCTCATTTCTCATGGTCATCTCACTCTCTGTTGTCTACCTTATAAACAGACAGCAATCTCTCCAGGACACAGCACAGCAGGGTCCTAGTTTATGATTAGGCATACAAGACAAACAGCTATAAAATGATTTGCAAAATGTTTACCCTATAAAAATAGTTACGGTGAGTACATGTCTCCATATTTGTTTGCAAAATGTGTCTTTCATACAGTGACTTAGAAAAGATTTCAGTTAAAGAAAACGCCAATAATTCAACTTCTTAAGAATACTGCTGGGGGATATTTATGACAGAGTTCAGCAACAATTCTTATAAAAGAGAGTACTTCTCTTTTATCTCCAGAATGGAGTTATGATCCTTAATAAAGCAGGTCCACTTGAGGGTTTTCTTAACTTTGGCTTCACATCCCTAAATACCCCTGCATAATTTCCCAGCTAGTCACACAGTTACGGAGGGCCACAGGCAACCTGAACTATCAGCTTGTCTGCAGGTAGCGACCCAGCTTCTACCAAGACTAATGAGAGTCCTACCTTTGGTTTTAATGTACTCTGAAATGGGCCCCCACTGACAAAGATGAAACAGATCACTAAAGAGCAGTTGCCAGTATTGATGTGCACGTGTTTTCTTCTGGGAGCAACTAAGTGAACGCGTCTGGTTGAGCTTCAAACAAGGGAGTAACAATGTGAAGATCCTCAGGGCTGGACAGAGGATGGGCACGCAAGAAAATTAGTTATCTTAGTAACAGAGAGACCAACTGAAGTCAAGGTGCAAGAAATTAAATCCATTAATCCTTAGAAGCAGTGAAGCAGATTTCAATACCCAAGGGCAAGCACACACTGCTCTCAGAAAACTGCCAGTAATATTCTTGTTAGTAGTCAGTACTGTTTCATGCTTCCTAAAGCACTTTATTCTCATTGTTTGAGCTACCAAGCAAAACAGTCAAATGTTTCTATATTACAACAACCTGGGACTCTGATGTTTCTGCAACCCATTACTATTTTCAAGCAAAACTGGGGAACAAAAAATCTTTTTTTTTATGGGATGCCTCAGTTAAGACTGAACTTTATTAAACTTTTCATTAACAAAAAAGGGTGTGACAGAATGGTCAAAAGGCTGACAAGCCTTAAAGCATTTGCTGAGGCAACATGCTCAGTCTTGTGAGAGAATACCCAGCTGCTGTCACTTTCAGTTTAGCAAGAACACTCCAAGTAATTTTGAGCAAGCTGTTTGCATTGCAGTCTAGGGTAGCTTCCCTTGAACTGCTTTCCCTCCAGCATGCCACATTCTAGAAATCAACTGTTATCTGGGTGTCTTTCCAGGTGTGAAGGCCAGTGTTGGAGATAAGCAGCCCGGTGTAACAGAGAAACATTGCATCATCCTAGGCACCAACAGCAAAACACGCTGCCAGCTGAGCAAGGCATCAGCTAATCCGTGTGTGAGTACACTCAAAAAGGAGTGTCAAAGAAGTCTTTATCTCCAAAGCTCAGTGATCCTCATCATTAAATTACACAACACAAGATAAACACAAATCAATCATTTAAAGGGAGGAGAGGTCACATTTTACACAACAACTGTTCGGCTTGGTTATTTCAAACCAAATACAACTTACAGTCTTCAGTAATGGCAATACACTGTATGAGTTGAAGTTACATCTAATACGGGAGATGAAAAGGCTTCTCTACTATCTTTTTTAATAGCTAAGCTATCTGCTAAAAAACATATGTTGTTTTAAAGAATTTTATTTATTTATTTATTTATTTATTTAGGTTTTGGAGGGCAATTGAGGGTTAAGAAAAATATCATTGCTTAAAATTCTGTATGTTTTGTGCATCCTTTTTCAATTTTGCCTAAAAGCACCTATGTTTTTCTGCAGCTGAGGCAGTAAGGACAGTGACCAACACATGCCAGAGTTCATCAGGCCACTCTTGTCACAATGGGTCAGGCTACAGGTCCAACAAAGTCAATGGAGATAAACCTCTACAGCTTTAGATTACATGCCATGAGTCTAACTTTCCTACTAGAGCAGTCATTGACAAAATTCATGTTTATTTCAGCTGAATGAGATCCCTAAGAAATTTATTTGACGTTTGAATCTCGAAGTACCAAGATGCACCTCACCCAGTGGCACAGAGACATGCACACAGCAGTTATATAAGTTAACTCCATTTCAGGATTCCAAGTCAACAGGACTGAAAATGACATTGCAAAGTGTAGTTGATGCACTATTTGGAGCTTTTACCCTGCCCTGCAAAGAAACATGGTATCTTCCCATAGAGATATTTCAACATTAATCTTTGCTTATTTATATAAAGAGTTTGCCAGTGTTGGCTATGGTGCAGCCTTATACCTCCCTGCATCCGTAATTTTTACATTTAAAAAAGCAGTAGATAGCATATCATCTGCATATGATCCTGACAAAGCCTGTAATTTTAACATTTATATTCCTCTCAAACAATGAACATGAATATAGCAAAAAAAACATTGTTTGCAAAGTCCACCATTTTTCTCTTTAATAAAGTTCCTGAACAGGTGAACTACGTAAAATACAGATATTGAAATTCCAATCAACCAACCATACAAAAAAAATCCCCCACCAGACTATATCATTGTATTTCATCTTATGAAGAACAAATTTAAAAACTGAAACACTGAGACACAACACATTTATCCTTATTATTAATTTTATACAAGGTGAAATCTTCATGTAGTATGTAAAATTTACACCATAGCAACAGCATTCATTTTTTAATTTAGGGCTTTACTTAGTTTCTAAGCTAATTGTATAGTCAGGAAAAGGGTTTTAAACCTTCATCCTTTTACAGTCATTCATGACTTCAGGGCTGGGCAAGTAAAAATGAAAAGAGGAAGCTTCTGAACTGCTATTTTTTTGCTCTTGATTCCCAGCTTTGTAAAAACTCTGGCTAACAATTCAAAAATGTCATCCTTAAATTCAACAACAAATAAAAACTTCTCCCATCACTACAGTGAGGTACATGCACCTCAGCTAGCAACAACCTCTATCCTTTCTACCACCAAACCCCAAAGGAGACAAAAATACACCTACATATTCCTTCCAACTGGCAATTTTCTGTTCTTATATACAGAAGACCCGAAGCCAAGTTTATATTGCAATTTTCGTTCCATTAGGTCCTGAGACCTTTGTTTGGGAGTTGAGAGTTTTGCCTTCTCGTTTCTCACCAGCCTGAGGATTAGGATTCCTGCTTATAGTTCCCTGCCATAGAAGAGGCTTTGGAGATTTCTAGACTGATTTAGTCAATGGAGTGGCAAGAGTTTGGCTCTGAAATTTAAGGCACATGAGCAATTTTTAGAAAATTGCCTTTAATCACTTCTCCAATATCTTTACTGTCTGAGATCCTTGCATAATATGGTATTAAAGGGACAATGTCAGGTCAAATTTGGTTACACATAAGTAACATTCAAAAATTAAGCTTTCCAGAAGTATAGAAATAGATCAGAGCATAAAATTCACAGAAATACTTGCACCACTCATTTCTTTCAAATCCTTGCTGACAGGGAGTAAGAGCAGACAAAACCTAAAAGCTGAGCATAGCCTAGAGGTAAACTGTCCTCCAAAATCCAGGGGTACCATCAGCAACGTCAGTCACCATGCCACCATCCCGCTGGCGTCACCATGCAGGTACACAGTGCTTGGATGGTGTGGTGCAGTCTGCGATCACCTGCTATACTGGGGTCTGCCCTCACTCCACCACCCACCCCTCCAGCAGAAACGGGGGAACACTTCCATTTCTGCTGCTGCTTTCTTCTGCCCCAGCCCACCCCACCCCCTCAGAAAGGACCTGCCAGAGTCAAAGCCTTTAGATTCACTGCACCAACTAAACTCTGATAAGTAGGGGTCAATGTGCATTTGTCCTGCTCTGGAATTAGCTTTACTAAACCAAGATCTGTAGGAAACATTCAGCCCCTTCAAGACCAGAAAATAAGCACTGTTCACCGGTTGATTACTAACCTCAGAAAAACTAGTTTATGCTGCCAAAACAAACAGCAAATTTTTGGTACAATTAGCTGTACTTATGTCCCTTTTGGGGTGAAAGGCACATGTAAATGCATTTTCTAATGAAACTGCATGCTGCTCTGAACACTGTTGA